TGCAAGCTTTCTGCCCATCAATAATTGATAAAATACATGTAAATGTAGCTTTGCAATATTGAAGTTTGTCTTATTCCATAGAGTAAGCTGGATCTATAGGATGAAGCAGAGCCATCGACATTTACAATACACAGAGTTTGGCCAACCCGGTAAGAGTTCACAATATGGCGACTACTGCTTTGTTGGGCAAGCACAAAACAATAGAATATACATCATGTTGTGACCCAGTGAAACCAAATTGGCCAAACTCTGTGTTTTGATGGCTCTGGGATGAAGTATGTTCCTGGACAGTGCTTGTTTGCTTCAGACAGGGTCAATAAATCAGCTGACAACCGAGGTCACTTCAGGACAATTCACTCAATAGTACAGCTCACCACAACACAAGCAGGTACCACATTATGTAGGCCTACAACCTGTACTTATTTACAGTACACGTAAACCACATATGCATACAATCTGGGCCCCCTTCTTACAAATCGCAAGGTCTCCAATCACTCGCAAGTTTGCAGTCTCCTATCTGTAATATATACATGTACATAATACATGTACATGGTTCGATTGATATCAATCAAAAATAAGTTGCAATTAATATCAACTCTTTGTAATACAGAGCACTGGTGGGCAGAATAATATGAATTTCAAATATTCATGTAAACACATACAATGTACATGTATCAGTATATGAGTTCCATGTACATGTAAGCGATGATTCAAGGTAAGCCAACCATATTACGTTATCTGACCAATGTTGCTTTATATCAAGAAATTGCTTACATTTGTTTGTTGTGATAAAAATTTGACCAATATGCACTAGACTAAATTACAACATCCAATATTCATTTCACATACAATACTGTTATTATCTCTGTGTGGGGGGGGGGGGGGGGGGGTGAGAAGACTACATGTGTATGTACATGTTTTAAAGGTTAAAGCCTAAAGGCCCTAAAATATCAGTAAAATCATATCACATCATGTTCTCGAGGGGACAGTATGGATAGTTTGATAAATATACATGTAAAATCATTTTAGACATTTCATTAATTGTGAGGCCAATGTCAACGTTCTTATTACTGTTCAAATAGAAAGATAGAAAAAAATGAGAAAAAATAAATAAAACGTAAAATAATAATAAATTGATAACAATAATAAATTGTCTATTGATTCATATACTGTACATGATACACGTACATGAACATTGTTATCTAATCAAGTGTAATTTTGTCATATTTTTGTTATGCATGTACTGTACATGTGCAGGCACCTACAAATAAATTACAATTGTATGTGGATTACTGACTACCCGTATAATACTGCATGTGTACAAGGTGTACTTTCACTTATTGCATTTTCCCACAATAAGTAATTTATGATATTTTTTATGTCTCTCGTTTGCATGCATAATTATATCTAGAGCTATTAAAGCGATGTGAGGTTCACTGCCACCTAACACCTGGCTTGTTGTAGTCTACAAACAAAGACCCTTAATATATGTAACAATGGAAGCACAACGATTGCCCTTTAAATGCAAAGCCACAGTTTTAGAGCTCGGACAGCTGTACCGGAAGCACTGCATGTTGGTTCCCTAATTCGTACATACATTGTTGATGTTGCTGGCTCAGTTATAAATAATGGCACTTATAATTCAATGATGAATATTTGCAATTTTAGGCTAATTGTACAGGACATACTGTAGGCAAATTTCATTATTTTGTAATGACTTACATGTACACTGTATGTCTATGATGATAAAGTCAGTTGTTTTTCTTCAAAACAAGGTTGTGGTTAGGTTCATTTTATAGTATTAGTATCAAATTTGCTCTTGAGATGAACAAATACATGTATTGTGATATTGTGATATTGATCAGTCTAACAAGAAGAAGTAGAAAACAAGCATACAAGATAACATACCGACTAATCATTGCTACTCATTCTCAAATTCCTATAAGAATAAACTCAAATATCCTGTGCAAATAAGTAGCAACTTTCTTGCACTGCCCACAAACAATTCATTTTAATTTCTAATCAAACCCAATACTGTATACAAAGTCTGTACGTTGCAGATAATCACAAACACAATTACAACTTTCTAACCACCGGCTTTGATCTAATGTTGATGTTGTTTATAGTTTGCAAACAGTCAAATTCAAATATAAATGCAAACCCACAAAGTAATATTTCATCTATTCATCATTCCACCTTTCTTTTTTAATCAAATACAAATTCTTTTGACATTAGTGGGTTATGAAACAGTAATAATGTATACTTTGTCTCCTCCTTCTTTTCAATATTGTACACAACATCTGCTGCCTGCAAGAAGGTCTTTACTGGATTTACTGCCATTGACCATTCCTAGCCATTGAATACAGCCTTCTTGCAGGCACCTAAGGAATTAAAGTCTACTACTGAAGCTTACTCAGCTACGAGCAAGTATGAATGAAAATAATATTCAGCAATATCAAAATAATGCAAGTGAAATATTACAGATTTTTTATTATCTCCCTCCATTAAATACAGTCTTCTTGCGGGCATCTAAGGAATTAAAGCCTACTACTGAAGCTTACACAGCTACAGCTACGAGCAAGTATGAATGAAACTAATATTCATTCAGCAATATCAAAATAATGCAAGTGCAATATAACAGATTTTTTCCCTCCATTAAATACAGTCTTCTTGCGGGCATCTAAGGAATTAAAGCCTACTACTGAAGCTTACACAGCTACGAGCAAGTATGAATGAAACTATTCATTCAGCAATATCAAAATAATGCAAGTGAAATATTACAGATTTTTTAGTATCTACACTGTACCTCCATTAAATACAGCCTTCTTGCGGGCATCTAAGGAATTAAAGCCTACTACTGAAGCTTACACAACTACGCAAAAGTATGAATGAAACTAATATTCAGCAATATCAAAATAACGCAATTGCAATATTACAGATTTTGTATTTTATATCTCCCTCAAAGCCATAACTCCCGACCAATCTAGTTCGCATCAGGACGACCCACACCATTTACAGGGCAGTGAGCATTGCGTCTTCGTCAGCTTCACACGCAAGGTGTCGCTATCCTCATGTTTCTCATATTAGCAGCTTCTGGTGGTTGCGAGAGAGTGTCACATGATCATGTCACCTGAGATGTGCATGTTTCGCTATAGCATTCTTGTTTGATTTAAGCATGGTTTTTTTTAAGCAATATGAGTAGTCATAAGCTCAGATTATGAACTTGGCCAACATTGTGATCCCCTTTCATTCAAAACAAAAAGTGCTCTTAAAGAATGAATACAGTCCATTTATTTAGTACTTTTCTAGCTTCTACAATAATTTTTTTTATAATGTACTTACCAGGGGTAATATAGCCTACTCAATGCATTTTCATGTTTGGAAATTGGGGAAATATGTTACTTTTTCAAAAGACTGTAACACCCCATTAAAGCAAAATAACTTTTAAAATAATTTATTCAAAAAACCCTTTATCATACATTTCTTAGCTTTGATACATGTAGGTTGATCTACTGTGAGTGTACAGTATATCCGAGAAATACCCTGCTACACATGTACATGTGCGAATGCGATGAACTAAATAATTGCTTTATTAATTATACACAGTACTTGTTTAAAATCCAGAGAAGAACTACTTTTCCAATCTAAAATAAACCTTACATGATATCATTTTAAATTGTCAACTGGAATTTTATAGGCAAAATTCCAGCAGTGTTCACTAAAAAGAGACTGCTTTCATTCCTGGAAATCCAAACCTGTCAAGAGACAATAAGGACATGGCCTTGTATTCAATCGCAGAAAGGCACAGTTTCTAGAATTTGATTTCAACGTAAATTTGAAAAATGACATCTATTTGTTCCATCCACATGGACCTTGTGAATTTGAATCACAGTGCACTTGTCTAGTCTGGACACGAGAAGAGGATGATTCCTCTTTTGAAAAGAATTTTCTTCTTGTCTCTTGTCTGCCTCGCACTGTGCCATCCATGTGACTACAAGCACTTACAGTAAGTCAATACAAGTTCTGGATCTATTCTTAAAACATGCTGTTTGGACTTCTGCATGGGACCTTGTAAAAACAAATCTTGTTACAGACCTGTTATTGTTGCAGAAGTGGGTATTGTCTCCAGGCATATCTGAAGTGCACACACGTCAATGGACATTTCAACATATGTTTGTGAAGTATGTTTGTACTAGGCTACATGTACAGTATGTGCATACACTGTGTACAAGTTCTAGTTCTATGTTACCCAGAGGAACTTCCCGTACAACTACCTTGCTCTTGTTCTCTCTTTTATTTATTTCTCCTTTTTTTTCTTTCTTTCTCTTTCACTTTGTCCGTTTCAGATTGCCTGTTTAAGAATCTTGCCAATTTGATTTGCAAACAGGATAGGGGTGCATGACATTCCCACCTCCCCCCATCACCAAGCCCTTTTAAAAAAAAGGGCTCTTTGGACCAAAAAAAAACATTTTCATGCCCAAAGTTACAAATAGGTGCAGTTTGGTAGATATCTGAAGGCCAACTAATTTCCAATAGCTGCTGATTAATTTTATTTCTCATACTGTATAAAATATATCTCAAAGTTATGACCATGATTGACTATACCAGCAATACTGACCAAGGCTGAAGATCATTGTAGCAATTTATTTCCAAGTCTACACTCATTCTAATGTCAAATTTAACCAAATGCAGTGCGGAAAAAACAGACAAAATTGAATGAATGGCTACAAGCAAGTATTTAGATTTGTACATGTACATTAATTAAGTACCAGGTGGTCTTAAAAAATTACCAACACTTGAGTGCATTCCATCTTTATAAGGTAGGCATCCATTCTTGTAAAACAGATATCAACATACATGTATATGGTGGTAATAATTGAAAAGTGTTGTAAAACATTAAAGCTTAGAATTACTGTACACAGGCTAGTATTAGACTACAATGGTTTGTTGGTGTTTTTAAAACATTTTTTTCCTTTACTTTTTAACATTTTTTCTTCTTCATGTGGTTTGCCTAAAGTTGTATAGATATATAAGCTGAAATCTGAACAATTACTTTGTTCACTTTAGTGTTGTTCTTCTTCCTCTTTCTTAACTTGGTTCAAATGATATACAGTGTACAGTACAATATAAACAATTGAAAAATAGACAATATAAAAACATAAAGTACATGATATTCATCAATCATTAAAACATATGGTGACAAATCATGATCAATAATCATACTTGGCAACAAATTTAAGAGCAATTTCGAACAGTGGAGAACTGAATACATGTAGACTTTATGTTACATTACAATATATTGAATTAATTAATAATTATTAAAAGACATTAATTCAAAATGATTTGGAATGGAATGCAATTAATATTTTTATACTATACCTTGAGTTGCTTGTACTTCTTCTTTGCACTGTTGAGGTCTTCATGGACTTTGTCTAGAAGCCATATAAGAAACTCCTGCGCATCATGTTGGTCATTTCCTCTGTACTGACTCCCATGCCTAGCCACTATGCGCTTGAATTCTGTAGTATGATGGGGAGAATATTTGCAACTCCAAATTGCTTTGAGGAGGACAGCCAACTGCTCCGTCACTTCTCCTTTGGTTCCAAACTTTTTACTTAGTTTCTTGGAATGTGAGAGATCCTCGCGATATTGCTCCAGCACAAAGTACTCAGCCAGGATGTCTGTATTGCTCAGGCATTGGACGATGGCATTCATGAAACAAGTGTTGCCATGGTTTCGAAGACCCGACAGCCCCGGGACACGTCCATGGAGGAGGATAGGGCTGCAAGGTGGGGAGGTAGGAGGGTGAATATCCGCTTCACCATTCACAACGCTGCTTCCTGACGTTCCATCTCGAGAGTTGGACCCTTTTCCTTCTTCCATGCTCCCTATTTGCTTCACCATCTTTTGGATCAGAGACCCAAACGCTTTGAAGGAAGGCTTTCTAGACAATTTCTTTTTACCGGGACTTCCAACTGAAGATGAGAACGAGGTATTCAGGCTCTGATCAGCCTCACCACTTACCCCCAGCTTGTTCGTGTTGCTGTTAGAGTTTGCACGACGTATGTTTGGACGGGGACTTGGACTTGATCCCCTGGACCCAACACTGTAGCCGCGGAATCTGTCGTCTTCTACATGGCCATTGCTACCGTGCACCGACGTGCTTCTACCTTCTACTTGTAATGTCCTTGAACTTGGTGTACTAGTTTGTGAGTGTGGGACATTCTGATTCGCACGATATGCATAGTCAACATCGGCTCCTATCTGAAAGCTTGATGCTCTGACAACAGCGTGATGATGATCAATTCTTTGGTTCTGACTCAAGTGCACATCTTCCCTATGACTGTAACTATGGATGCTATCCCCTGCACTATTTTGGCGATTATAAACAGGTCTTGAATATCCATCCCCTGCCTCACTCGGAGGATAAAATGCACTTCTCTGCTGCTTTCCTTTTGATCGTGGCAAACTTGCAGTTTTACGTTTCCAAAGTTCTTCATCAGCATTCAATTCCCTGCTGGAGTTTCTTACTTGATGTCTTGCAGTATTCCTTGGCAGTGTGTAGTTATGTCCGGGATTGTGTTGATGATGTTCCAGTCTCGATGAGCCGTTCTGATATTCCTCTCTGCTCCTGCTGAGCCTGTACCCATGATCTCGGCTTGCCTCGGCGTACGCTGCCCGCATAGCAGCCGGGACGCTACCGTTGCTCCTGATGTTGAGGCCGTGTCCATCCTGAGATTCGGTGATGGAAAAGTTCAGAGCCGCATCAGAAGAAGATCGGCCATAGATCGGTCTATGGTTCTGCGCCATTCTGCAGATATGTATCAGTCTTTCTGTCACAAGATCACATTCTCTCAGTCAATCTCTAGGATCTTTGAAGTACGAACATTAGTCAGTTTGACGGCTCAATTAGTGCTACCACCAAGTATCAAAACAGTGCAGTGCACGGTCATCGCATCATCACATGCACTGCACTGAGAGAGGGCGGCGCGGCGGCGCGCGGGGCGGGCGCGAGATGCCGTTTACCGTTGAATATTATGCAGTAATCAGGTGCGCGGTTAATGGTAGCACTGTCTCACAATCAGTTCTTCACGCGCTGCTAACTGAGTGGAGCTTCAGCTGAGCGAATACTAGACCATGGCGTAGATGGTGCTCTTTCTGTTTCAGAAAGACCATGAAGAAAGACATACAGGTCACAAACTGCATCAATGTATCCATATTTGCGTGTGACAAGAAGAGGATGTGGTTCAAATAGAACATCCAGTCAAATTATAGACCAGTTCACGGTTAGCACATATTGCCCCGAATATTCACAGATCTTCACATAATCACTATAATAATAATAATATAATAATATACAGTAATAATGACCCAGCCAAGAATGACACCTCCATCCTTCAGCAAGACCTTCAGCAAGGGGGGGGGGGGGTCTCGAAATTTGAAAAATTGACATTTTGCTCCGTTGGGGGGGGGGTAAGGTCAGCTTCTTTTTTTTATTTTTTTATTAAATTTTTATTTTTTTTAAATCAAAAAAATCCAAAGGGGGGGGGGGGGGTGTTTTAGGGGGGTTTACACACAGAAATATACCAAATGGGGGTTTAACCCCTCAAACCCCCCCCCCCCCCGCCTGTGTACGCGCCTGCCTACAAGTACTCATTTTCCCCCTGCACCATTCGCATCTGGAATCAACTACCATTCACTGCAGTTACTGCCCCAACAGTTGCTGCTTTCCAGATGACCGCCCTCCGTGTCATCAGAGGGTTGGAACCTCCTGTAGGTTCCAGAATGCTGTAAACCATATAGCAGCATGATTTTTTACTTGCACGTCACTATTTTACTGTATAAAGCAATTGTACACCCTTTTGTTGTCTGCACCTTCACCTGCTGTCACAACACATCCCATCCCAGTATAGCTTGGAAAAGCTGCTTCAGGGATTACCTCATCAAGTATCAAGCGACGGAGGTGTTTTCAAAGAATACTTCCACCTGTGTATAAAATAGAAATCCATAGAAAGACTGGAAAATGCAGGAAAATGAGGGGGAAAGGAGAAGGAGAGAGAGAGAGAGAGAAAGAGCCGAAGGAAGAAAGACCAAAATCATTTTCCTAACATCTATTTATGCAGAAACTGGTTCATAAATATATCTAATCACCTGCCTGAAGATTGCCTCGAAGATCGGCAAAAAGCAGACTTCTAGCCAGAGGAGGGGAGGAGGCGGCGAAAGGGAGCAATACAACTATAACTTAACAGAAATCCCTAGAGAGACTGGATAATGAGGAGAAAAGGAGAAGATGAAAGAGAAAGAGCGGAAGGAAGGAAGACCAAAGACCAATTGTCCTAACATCCTCTTGGTGAAAGGTCACTGTATTTATGCGGACAGGAGCAGGGGGGGGGGCGCGCTAAAGGGGGTGGGGTGCGACCTCCATCGTTTTCTGTCCCTCTTAATTTAATGAAACGCCAAAGCTTCTGCGCTTCGCGCGGGAGGGGAAAACTGAATTCAGACAAGGATTAAGAGTCGAAAACAGTGCAACGAATCGTCTTCTGTCTCTAATAATTTAATGAAACGTCAAAGCTTCTGCGCTTTGCGCGGGAGGAGGGGGGGGGGGCGACTGAATCCAGACAAGGATTTAATGGAACGTCAAAGCGGGAGGGGGTAACTGAATTCAGACAAAATGAGAATGGTACAACGAATCGTCTTCTTTCTCTAATAATTTAATGAGATCAATAATTGAGCAAGCATGTTTTTTTCGCAACTCTTCGTCATTTTCTACATTATTATGAAAGAGTCATAAAATGAAGTGAATTGAAGTCTTAACATTTTGTTTCACTATTCATTATACTGCATAATCGACTAAGTTGAACAAGTTGAATGCGTATAGAGCTTTTCTGCTGGAGATTTCCATCAAAATAATGTATTCGTCTATCTTTTCTTCTTCCTCTGTTCTTTTTTCAGTCGATGTCGGATATATCAATTTTGGTATCTCTAATGTCTTTCTAAACTGAGCCTATAGATTTCTATACTTTGTTTATGAACTCTCAAAAGTATATATTGCCTTTTTTCCAAGTCTAACATAATGCTTATAGTTACTTTTCATCGGATTTAAAAACTGTTTACCGTCTATACTATAATGATATGATAAGATATTATAAATATGCAATAACGTTTTCTTGAACAAAACAAACAAACCATTCATTCATTACGAGGATACCAAATACTCTGTATATAGGCATGTTCTTACTTATTCTTTGTTGCTATTACGATTTCATGTTCATGATTTTGTTATTATTATTATTAATTTGTATGTGTTAAAGCTATTATTCCTCATTATGTTTAACAGGGCCTCACGGAAGACCACCATTGTTGGTGATAATGAGTCATCCTGTCTAAATAGGCCTATATCAGCAATAAATAAATAAATAAATAAATAAATAAATAAATCTAAACCTCTGTAGACTATGCGAAACCTGAATTGTTATGCACAGAATCAGGGCCTATGGGCTGATTCTTATTTATGATAGTTCCAAATGGTGCGGCGCGACTCAATGTAGCGTATCAATTAACTCAAAATACATAATCCCATTAATTTGTTGCCATAGTTCTTCTTTATCCGTTTCATTTTACGCCAATAAGTATTGTACCGTCATTAGTCGATACATATTATCCCAAGGACCATTATTGTTATAAGTATTAAGAAGTTAATGTTTGATTTTTTAAGGAATAGGAAAGATATATGAGGAATGTGATGTTCTTGAATTATGATGAGGGAGGACTTAAAATGATATACTTTCTTTTATTTGTTTATACACAAAGAAGTATGTGGAGAAAAAGATATACTACAGGAGATTCGAAAATGGGAGCACATTTTTTGTTTTTGGTCCTCGAAAATTTGAAAATGTGCAACCCCCCTTGAGCGCCAGGGGGGGGGGGGGGGCATCTCCCAAAAAAGCTTTTCCAGGGGGGACGAGCCCCCGCCCCCCCTGGATCCGCCACTGCGTGAGGGACTGCCCCTTTATTGCCCCCTAGCTTCAAAATATATAGTGCCTTGCTCACCGGATTATAATGTCTTAAAACACCACTAACTGGTCACACATGTTTTCCCCATGCCAAACATGGAAGAAAAGTACAAGTATAGAACACTCGTCATATACCCGGCGTAATTCTATTCAATTTTCATTCAATTTTTATCCAAATCTTTCTAGTCAATTTTTAAACGTTATTGATCTTGTTATTCTGCGTGCAGGAACGTGTATTTCCGGCATTGCAACACTGTAAATCATAATTTTCTTAGTTCAATATTATAAACTGGTATTCGATTGAGTCTTTGAAACTATGTTCTATGGTGATATCACAACAAACAACTTTTGCTAGTGTGTTGATGGCTTGCCTTTTGGAATTGGGTGATGATTTGTTGTGCAATACCTGAAACGAGACCACGGGAAATATTACAGCGCCCTCTCCCATCCGGGTTAGGTATTTATTGTTTAGGGTTAGTCCATTTTGCACAGGGTAATATGATAATAAAGATAATTTTATGAATGAGAGTTTTCCCCCAACAATACTATTGTCTTGTCCTATACCAAACAATTTTATATAAAAATTGAGATGATATCAATTTTTATATTACTTTAATTCTTATACTTCTATTTATATTACATAGAGAGAAATAAATATTCATACTATTCCTATTTTGATTAATAGAGTAGCCTGTACACATGCGCAAAATGTTATGTTTGTGAAACAGCTGCCCTGAAAGCCGAAGTAATGCCTAATTTTCGACGATATTTAGGGGATTTCCTCTTATCCAGGGTCTACCTCTGACATTTCGATGAGTTTCATCATTTACTGGCTCGACATAAGAGCGCTTCCACTGACCGTCAGACGAGAGAAAATGTGTTTACGAAGAGCGAGATTGTCACGGACTTGTTTAGGACCTCAAGTTGCATGTAAAGTCACATTACGTGGTTTACCTGCGTAACACATAGGAGAAGAAGCTTGTTGTATACTGTGTGCTGTTGAAAGTGAAATCTTACCCGGTGGAGTCGGCTTACATAACACTCAGCTTGCGTCGCGTTGGTCTGATTTTCCCGGAGCTTGAATTCGCATTTATTTTTGATATTGTTCAATCTTCTTGCCCTCTACTCATAGCTTTCGTTTCTGAATTGTATTCTAACAATTTTGTCTGCCTGGATCTGTAAAGTTTTGACTGTACATGGATGTAGTTGCAATTCAAGCTGTGTGCAATAAACCGAACATTTGGACTTTCCCAAATAAAAATTAGGCTTCAGTTCTGTGGTAACTTGTACAGTTGTACTTGTAAGACCTTGATGATAATTTAGTCAAGTTGACATGATGTTGCTAGTCATAGTGATAAACTTAAAGATAGTAAAATTGGAATGATTTGAACAGAACCTTGATTTCTTTTCCTGCTGGTGTTCATGACAGTTTGTGAGGAGAGGACAGGAAACGAACACTTTCAATAAACCAGGAAAATAATTGTTGACAAGATGGCGGCAATAGTGACCAACTTTCTACCGGATTCCCCAAGTCAGGACAACCTGAAATCCCCAACGACGCCCACTACCCCTAGCGCCCCATTCCCTGGTATGGGCGAATGCAATCTCTTCTCGCCAGAAGACACGCTCAATGGAGATGATGCCCTGATAGGGGAGCTCAATGCGAAGGTGAATGCTGAACTGGAAATGATGAAAGTTCTTCATTAACTTTGTTTTTGTTTGTTTTTTCTCACAATTGCTTTACTTGTCATGGCTCATGCTAATTGATAAACTATAAAGCAATCTATATATTGTTCAGGATGCTATGCCAATAGACCTTTTCAAAATGTATTCAATTTATACATGTCTACCTCTATATGAAGCAACCAATAACTTTATCTGCTATTAATTGTTTATGTATCAAAAGAACAGAATGCAAATTACAGAAGTGTATTTGTTGTTCCTAGGTTGGACAAACACGGCTTGTCTACTTTGTCTGACCAAATAATTTGCTTCCTCTATTTAAATGAACATGTGAATGAAAGAATTGGCATCAATTTAAGCCAGTGTACATGTACATGTACATTGATTACATTTTCTTTTACATATTGTTTTTATGTATTTCCAAGAAAAAAAGTATTCTAATAGATATTCTAATCCTTGAACGTGCACAATTTAAAATTTATTTTCTATCTTTTTGTTAAAAGGACAAGTTGGTATGCCCATCTGACATGGTCTACGATGCCATATTGAAGCAGCTACACGAAAGATTAGAGGAAGGACAAGGAGAAACGATCTATTCTGTTGGACAAGGGGGTAAGATTTCTCAAATGTTTTTCTCAAAGAGTTTGAACTATTCACCTGTATTCACCTGTCTTTTCGGGCTCCTTAGTAAGACAATGTCTTGTCTTGTTTGATGGATGCATGAACAAGGAAAGTGGTACGGGATGTGGGAGAGATGGAGCAAGAAATCATTAGAAATAAATGAGTTAGGAAAGTGAAAGTGTATGAGAGAGAATGAAAGAGAATGACAGAAAGAAAGAAGGACAGATGAAGAAAAACAAAGTGATAGAGAGGATGAGAAAAGGTAAGATGTATGAATCTGATTCTGATAAAGAGAGGGAAACAGAACATTGTGTGTATTTGTCCTAGAAAACAAAGTCCAAAGTTTGGAGATTATTATGTGAGGTACTGGAGCAGAAAGAGAGAGAGAGAGAGAGACAGAGACAGAGACGGAGAGAGGGGGAGAAGGATTTAGAACTCTTATAAGTTTCTATGAAGATATATCAGCTTGTTAACAAATAATCACTTCTTCATCATTATGAAAGTATCAACAAAGAACTTACTCTCAGCAGCCAGGGTCATTGAACGGTGAAAACCATTAAAAGAAATGCCTGATTGACAAATGAGGTCTTCTAAAAAAAAAATCTAGTTTTTGATATGGTCCCTGATTCCAAATATTAGAATTGAATAGAAGATAGTACAATCTTTCTGGCAAATCAAAACAAAAACACATAACATAGTAATGAAATAACAACAAAAATCATGAAATCTCACAAAACAAATCTGTGCAAAACAATCAGTAAACATTGCACCTTCACAAAATAGATCTACATGTATATTGAGCTCTAACCAAAAATAAAATGAAAATCATATTAATAATAATAATGCAGCTTAATGATTGATTTGTGTCTTGATTTATACAGTTCATACATGTACATATAAACAGTATATGAATTACATTGACCTTTTTCTCCAGAGTCCAGAATACCCTTATTTAACCATTAATAATTCATCCAAAAGTTACCTCTCATGCTGTATTTTTAATTTCTACAGTGATTTAATCAGTTCAACATTTTGTTGAATACTTATCGTATTTATTTACATTTACCCCTTTAATATACGGTAACATGTATGTGTATGTATTATTGTACAAAATTACAATTCAGTTTTTATGTCTGTGAAGATTTTTGAACCATTCAACATTGTCAATTTAAGTCAATTAAACAAAAAATATACAAGAGAACAATTCATGACAGCAAGGAAAGGAAACGAATCATTACAAATGATTGTCAAAACCTTTTTTGAAATACTTCTTTCACTTGGTGTACCAGCACAGTTTGTTGATATCTAGACAGTAGGAGAGGGTGTGAGTGGTATTGCACAATCTTGCATAAGCCAGCTCAGATGAGAGCTTCCTGTGTTATGGTACAGTAAGAGCGAGAAGGTCACATGACTAAATAGACAGTAAAAGAGAGAAGGTCACCTGACTACATGGTGGCTGGAGGACAGCTTGGTATTGCACAATATTACAGCACCCAAAAGAGGTTCCTTGAAGATATGACTTTATGCCAATGTTATACTTGGAATGAATTCACATGTTTCCAGTTTTCTATTTCTCTTCTTTTCCTTCTTTGTTCATGGGAATTTCCTTTTGCCAAGAACAAATAATATAGTTTGTTACTAATGCTGTGTTAATCTTCATATTGAGATTGAAAATATATTTGCAGTATTACAACTGTTAGGACTGTGTTACATGATTTTCCATTGTAAAATTAACTTGATAAAGAGAGATTCATGGAGTATTCAAAACACTGCTGTACATTAAGAATTATGGGCACTATAATTAAAATTGTAGAAGCCTAGAAGGTCTTGTTTTGATTAACGTTTCTGCTACTGTATCTAGCCAAAATTTGCTGTCTATGATGGTTCATAATTAATTTAAATGAAAAATAAATTTATGAATTGAATATGGAAAATTACAAATTAAATAATAAATAGATGAACAAATAAATAAATGAAATGAATAAACAGATATATGGATAGAAAATAATAAATTCATAGACATATAAATGAATTGATCAATCAATGAATGAAATAAATAATTAAATGAAAAAAATTATATTCATCGAGAGGGGATTAACAATTTCGACTAACATTACTTGGTCAAATTTGTGCTGTTCTAAATAACGAATGGTTTATTTACCTTCTGGAACCCCCCCCCCCCCCACACCTCTGTTCTTGTATTAGGTGATGGTAAGAAAAGCGGATTGAGTCCTGATGAGGTGGCAGCATCAGCAGCTACCCTGGAGCGAATGGCTCAAAGCATAGAGGCTGATGTGGTCTTACTGAGAGAGAGAGACCTGGAGAATGGAACGGTGGCCGACTACCTGGTCAGAAGGAGGGCAGATGAAGAAGACTTCTACGAAGTTAGGTAGGTCCTGGCCATCATTTTACAAAAACTTGTCATCAGTGACAAATGACAGTTTTTGTTATAAGCTAGTGAAATCCTTACTTCTGATTGGTTATCAGTAGATTTCTCACTGATGTTTGTCAGTTGTCATTGAAAAAAAGCTTTGTGAAATGGGTCCCTGTTCAGCTAAAACAATATGACTATGCTCTGGAAAGCTCTGAAATTAGCTCTGGAATCCGGGAATAAAGCTCTGGTAAAAAACAATGATGTCATTGTGGAATATATCAAGCTTACATTTATGAATTTGTATGTAGAGCTATAGTGAATGAAAAGGTATTTTTTATAATGGTCCTTTTTACCAAGGCTGTAATATCATAAGGTAAGTTCTAAGAATTCAGTAATTTTCTGTTCCATACTTGAAACAAGAATAAAGAAAAATAGCCTGATGCAAGCTTAATAAGGCTTTCATTGTGATATCAATAGAATCATGAAGTATCCAAGAAACTGATGAGTTGGCAATATGTGGGACAAAATTAATTTTAGTTCAAAGTTATCCTTAATATAAATGCACCTGTATCAACAACATCATATTCAAGACACATACTCATTGGGAATATGAAACCATTTTGATGTTTACCTGATAACAGGTGTTCCCAAATCTGAATCCTTAAGAGATGGTTTAACACATTAATTAGTAACACTACCAAGTCTTGTACAAGTGAATTGAATACTGCCGTGCACATAGAAAACTGGTGTGAGTATGCCTCTAATTAACTGCCTCTAATTAATTGGAAAAGCTAAAAAGCCTTGTCTACATTTGTAAATTAATTACAACACAATGCACCTAGAAACTGTAGAGAGTACGCCTTTCATTGCTGTTACTCTTTCATTATGTACAGGGTGGCTGTAGTGGGTAATGTCGATGCAGGAAAGAGTACCTTGCTGGGTGTGCTCACCCACGGTGAGCTGGACAACGGTAGAGGGTTCGCACGACAGAAGTTGTTCAGGCACAAACACGAGATGGAGTCTGGGAGGACAAGCAGTGTAGGGAACGACATCTTGGGCTTTGACAGTAAAGGCGAAGTGGTCAATAAGCCAGACTCCCACGGTAAGTAAAGCTCATCCAGTCAAAATTATTTTTAGAATATAACACTGATGTGTTCTCGCAAGGCATTAATCTACATTTGCCACTCCATACCCAGGAGAGAAATATTATGAGAGACGGTATTTTGATTGAGCGCTATATAAATCCAGATTGTTATTATTAATGAATGTGTTACAACATTGACTGTAGTTAGAGGTGATAGTGCTTTAAGCAGTGGCATTAACATTTATGTCCACAGCTTTTTCAAATATATCTTTTTGTACAACTGGAGTTAGAATTCTTGTCAAGTTATTATTTAGAGCTTGGAATGACTTGACTGCTGGTTTAATTGGTTTATGATCATTTAAAAATTGGTCTTGTTAGTAAATGCAGTTTTAAAACAAGCATTAAATCTACTGTAGTAGATGAATAGATACCAGCTTGTTGGCATTGGTACAACTTCAATGGGTGATAACTGAAGACCAAGGAAATTTACCTTTTTGTATAGAGAATAATAATAATAATAAAAATATTCCACTTTTATATAGCGCTTAATACAAATGTCTCCAAGTGCTTCACAGATATACTATTACCCTGGTCATTGGATTCAATACTTCCCCGCATACACTGTGTGCACAATCTCCACTCCCTGAGGAGCATTCCAGCCAAGCGTTACTTAACCGTCAAAAACTTCTTGACCAACAGTGACGATCACATTCTACCGGGTACCCATTTACCACCTGGGTGGAGAAAGCAAGTGAAGGTTAATATCTTGGCAAAGGAGATGAGTGCCGTGTCAGGATTCGAACCCTCCACCTTCGCATCTCCAGTCAAGCCCCTAAACCACTCGGCCACGACACTCCTAAAATGCTCTGAATGGGGAATAATCAAGATGACTTTATAGCATTGTGAAAATGTTCTTTCCTTGCTTTATGTTATGTGTCAGGTGGGAGTCTTGACTGGGTCAGGATCTGTGAGAATTCCTCCAAAGTGATTACCTTCATCGACTTGGCTGGTCACGAGAAGTACCTCAAGACGACTGTGTTCGGCATGACGGGTCATGCGCCTGACTTTGGCATGCTCATGGTAAGGAAAGCCCTTCCTTATCTAGTTTTAAAAAACAAAACAATTTTTATTAAATCATACACCCTCGGAGTCTGTAAGCGGTACGTTTGCCTTGTTTTTCTCTGTCTTCCTGTTTTACCACTTAATTTATATTTAATTACTAACATAGTTCAGGGACAAGCCTTTGATAGGCTTTTGGCCTTTGTTTGTTTCCCATACATTTTGATACTTCTGTTCTGTTGTGTTATTTGTTGGAATTGACTTTGTATTGTGTATGTTTGTTACTGTAATTTTGTATCAAATGTGCAAATAAAATGAATTGAATTGAATTGAATGCAATATTCTGCTCTAACCTGCTTCATACTTAATAATTTGAACTGACATAGAACAGTAAACTTGTAGTATAACCAGGAATAGTTCTGAATTCTGCTAGTGCTCCAAATTATGTCGTGAATGATTGCATTACAGCAGAGAACATGTACAATTCACTAAAGTTTCTTTCTGCCACAATTACGGACGTTTCACTTTGCCAGGTTTCTGGTTTAACACACAAGTCTGTGTAACTTCGTATTCATGTCAAGTTAAACTGTATTTCTGAATAAATTATGGAATGCAACTCCTTTGGAGTACACAAATATTCTCATATACAGTGATACTTTCAGATAGCAAAAATATGATATCGAGGGTTCAGTGACACAAAGTCGTAACTCCATATTTTGCCAAAATGATTATTTGTTATCAAAATGTTCAGAAAAATGTGGGCTTTCCAGGAAACACCAAGACTTAACTTCACCCAACACCCCATTGAAGTCAATGGCTAGTGAAACATAGACTTAACTCCTTAAAGGTAATACAAAGTTTTGGGAAATTTTGAAAATTGGGTGGATGGTCATTCTATAAAATGTTGATTTATTTGGATGCCCCTTTGGATGTATTATAAGCACTAGAAAATTTAGCCTCTAAAACACTTCTACTTTCGAGATAAATAGAATATAAAAATTTACCGGTGCTCCCGGTAAATTTTGATGAATTTCAAAAACGTCTACAGCCGTACAAATGGTAGCTGCGACCATGAAAATCTCAGAATATGTAGTTGTGATATATAATTTCCGAACGGGAATAGCTAATCGATCGATTTTAGTCGAGAAACATTGTTTTATAGCTTAATTAATATCTTGACCTTGAGAGGGAGCTATACAACATAAAGAGTTGATTATGTTATTTTCATAATTTTAGACTCGATTTCAACCGCGACAACGATCACTGAATATTGTAGGATCGCATATGCTTCCAATATGTTCATTTCAACCAAATTCATGACTTCATACCAAAACTTTGTAATACCTTTAAGGCCCAAGTGCTCAGTGACACATAAACTTCTTTTTCTCTAAATGGCCAAAATGGAGTTATGTGTTTGTGTCACTGACCCCTCGATATGATAATTCCTTAGCATAGGTATTTGATTAATCCATGTGCTCCAATGTACAGGTTGGTAGTAACGCTGGAGTGATTGGTATGACCAAGGAGCATCTTGGTTTGGCGCTCGCCCTGAGCGTCCCCGTCTTCGTGGTGGTTACCAAGATCGACATGTGCCCTCCCAACGTCCTGCAGGAGACCCTGAAGCTCCTGCAGAGGATCCTCAAGTCTCCTGGATGCAGGAAGATACCGGTCCTCGTCAACAGCAAGGAGGATGTCGTCATGATGGCAACAAACTTCAGCTCTGAGAGGTATGAGTCCTCTTCTTTTCTCTTTCTCCAAGCTCTCTATCCTCCTCTCCTCCTTGCCTATCCCTTTTTTTACTTTCTTCCTTTCTTCTATTTATAATGTAGGAGTTCTAGAGGATGTTTCACAAAGATCCTAAGTCGAACTTAACTTTAAATTGGACTTAAAAAATTATGGAGAGCCATTTTGTAGCCTTAAAATAAAATATATTCAAATGCAAAAAATCAAGTATTTTAGACTTCCACATAAATTCCACATCAAGAACATGAAATCTCCTTGATAATAGATAATATGAATGATTTGAATCAACATTAAAAAAATATATATATATATATTTCTAAAGATGCTAACGGCCTTCCATAATTGTTAAGTCCAACTTAGAGTTACGATTGACTTAGGATCTTTGTGAAACACTCTCCTAAAGATTAATATTGTTGAGCAAGGGATTCTTACCATACTGCTCCTTTCCATACTGCTCCTTTCCACTCGGGTGCTTAATAGGTACTTGGTAGAATGCGAAGGTCATTGTGATTGGATTAACATGTGTGCACCCATAAAAAAGGCGTTTAGTGGAAGTCCTTTGTGTAAGAGAGTCACCTCCTATGATATTGTGAACCTACAGCACTATTTGAATGAGAGTAGGGGGAAGAATGGTGAAGTGGTCTACTGGCACATCCTAATCATTTAAACAGGTTTAAAAGACCCGAGGGTTACAGAGATTCACTTCACTATTCCCCTCACAGGACCCAGGGACAGGCGATGCCAAATACTTAAAGGGATTTGGTAACTTTGTCTCTCATTCTAAAACAAAATCATGGATTTAGCTCATGCTCCAATAATAATTATACACCTTTAGGGCAGTCAGGAACCCCATGACATTTACAAGCCGATCGCCTGTGTGATTATCAAGATATTTATGATTGGAAATTGAAATTTCATTAAGCGTTTTCCTAACGGTTTTCACAGCACTACAGTCTGTTGGGGAAAATGAGTACCGTATTTGCCGGCGATAAGGCCGCACCGCCGCATAGGCCGCACCCCCAACTTTGACATTTCAAAGAGGGGAAAAAAAAGAAGAAAAAAAAGGAAAAAAAAAAACAAACGGACAAAACAAAATAATCATAATTTTCTCGAAAACACTATTTTTTTTTTACAAACTGATACCAAATTCATCCATATTCTTATAATTTACCGGAAGTTTAGCTAAAAAAGTGATCACAGGCAGATTTGGTGTCCGATATACCCCTACCACAATGTACAGTGTAATGCGAAACTGCATGAAATGGAAAAACAAAATGGCGACTTCGGATTGATGTTCGCGGCAGCTCCGTTAGACTGTCCCTTCCTTTACCTTTGCAATGCATTGGCACAAACTTAGATCAAGATCTATCGGCAAATGTTGTGTTAGGACCTTTATTTTCATCTTCATGTCAACAATGCAAGATAAAATTGTCGGTAAGATGTTTGGAAATGTTCTGTACCATAGTGGAATTGTTATTTTACCGTTTCTAGTCCCATACGTGCAAATTCGTGTTGGTTTTGACTTTCGTTTTTTTTTTTTACTCTTTCGTCGTAAAGGCCGCACCCCGACTTTTTTATATTTTCTCTTCCAAAAATACTGCGGCCTTTACACCGGCAAATATGGTATGGTAAAACCGGTCACTCAAAGATTTTTACTTTTTTGAGGCACTTCATGATAATTTGAAGCGCAATTTTTTTAGGGCTTCAATATTACACCATATCTAAGACACTGAGAACATGTAGGGCCATGCATCTCAGATTTAACATTGTTAAACGATACCTTTAATAATAATAGTGTTCATTCTTTTTCAGAGTGTGCCCAATCTTTCAGGTGTCCAATGTGACTGGAGAGAACCTGAGCCTTCTGAAGATGTTCCTCAACCTGTTGACAACCAGGACAATGTTTGATGAGAATGAACCAGCAGAGTTTCAAATTGATGAGACCTACTCTGTACCCGTAAGCATAACAATATATACCATGACAAAATAAATCAGTATGCAAGCTTTCATCCACTCTTGTGAACTCCCTCTATCTATCTAAGTATCTTCTCCTGATTCGGAGGTTGATTGCAACATCTCTCCATTTCACTCTATCTTCTGCCATTCTAGTGCACTCTTGCAGTTTTAGTCCACTCCAGTTCTTGACATTCTCTTCCCCGTTGATTCTGGGTCTCCCTCTTGGTCTAGTTCATTCCACTCTTCCCTCCAACACACCCTTTAAGAAGAGGTTTTGGTGCCTTTTAACATGACCAAAATATTTGACTTTTCTCTCCCTAACTAATCCTACCAGTGCAATTTGTTTACTCCCTGCCATGTGCAATCTCTCTTTGTCGGTTTTCATTTGTTTCCAGGATAATTTCATCATTCTTCAGTAAATCCACATTACAAAAGATGTTATTCTATTTTCCATGGCCTTGCTTATTGTCCATGTTTCTGTTCCATACAATAGGACAGACCATACATAACAGCTTACTAGTCTTAACCTATTAAAGCGCAAATTTCACCTTCCTCTAGCCAAGTGATTGTTCTCACATTTTTCCTGTCTGCTGCCTAGAGGTCACTGGAGCACAGATAGGTGATAGTAAGGACTTTTAGATTTGCACGTCAACAGTTTTGACTGCAAGGTGTGACGTCATTTTAAGGCACTGCGCATGCGTCACGTCGTCTCAGTCGGCGATCGAGAATGCGTCAACCGCGATTTTCCTAAATCTAGTTCGGTACTAATATATGCAGTGTGCGCATAAAATATACAGTTCCTCAGGTAGACAAAGGAACAGGTGAATATGCATGTGACACCTGTTCTACACATTTTTACATAATAGCAGGGAAGGGATGTTCTACCACAGCAATTGTTGAGGGTAGAATGAGGAACTGTATATTTTGTCCTCTTTCTTAGTCTGTCATGTTCATAGTGTTACTTCCTGCATGCATGTATATCGTCGAGTGCAATCTAAAAGATTTTATAATTGTAGTCAACATGGGCAGTTGAGTACGTTGACACGCATGATCAGTTGGTGTTCGTTGTGTTCTTGTCCACTCAATCTAAAAGTCCCTAGTGAATAACTAGAGTCCCTATCCAGTGAAGGATTAATCTCTATTGACTTTGAATCACACTGCTTGTCAAGCGAGGTGAAAGAATCCACTCGAGATGAAAAGGATTAATCCTTCCCTGAATAGGGGCTCTGGCTAATCACCATCACTTATCTTTGCTCCAGTGATCAGGAGAAGGAAGCAGACAGTAAGAAAATATGTGAAGAATCATTTGGCTTGAGAAAGTTCACAGGAGTAGATGAAAGCTTGCCTACTAAATTTTAAGATTTAACTGACATATAGGGCTTACATAAATACAAGGTACAGAAGATATCCAAAAGAGTTTTTATATTTTTTATATTATACCTGATAAGCCATATAAATCATTAGTTTTGCCCTTACAGAAATCAGATTAATGTTGGACGACATAATTATAGATTAGCGATATATCTTTATTATGGAAATGAATATGAATCTGTTGGTATTATGTTAATAATAGGTACATTTATAAAGCGCAGCTACTATATGAATATACTTGCTATAGGACATTAGTGTAGTGGCGGGACTGGAACCGTTAACCATCTGATACACAGTCGGGTGACATAATTACTAGACCATGACACCTCTACGTTCTTATCGAAGGTTCAGTGACACAAAGACGTACCTCGATATTTTGTCAAAATTAGTATTTGATATCAAAATGTTCAGAAAATGTGGGCTTTCCAGGAAACCCAAAGACTTAACTCCACCCAACACCCCATTGAAGTCAATGGCTGGTGAAACATAGACTTAACTCCTTAAGACCTAAGTGCTCAGTGACACACAAACCACTTTTTCTCAAAATGGAGTTACGTCTTTTTGTTACTGACCCCTCATTTTTTTATCAACTGAATGTCTTCACCTCTTATCCACAGGGTGTTGGAACAGTGGTGTCGGGGACGACGTTAAAGGGGACGGTCAGAATAAACGATATTCTGGCCCTTGGGCCCGATTCTCACGGTCACTTCCAGCAGGTCATCATCAAGAGCATTCACAGAAAACGTATGCCGGTCAAGATGGTCCGAGGTGGTCAGACGGCTTCTTTCGCTCTCAAAAAGGTATGTTCAGACAAACGTTTTATCGATTAAAGGTCAGGTCAAGTACTGGTCATGAATTGCATTGTGAAAGAAACTGCATTGAAGTCATTGAGAAAGTCGATCATTTAGTATTTGAGAATAATTGTTTATTGTGAGGTTTTAGAATCATCAAAATGATACCTTGTAGGAATATGAGGTAATTTCAAGAGAAATCCCTTCAAATGCAATGCTATTATGGTATTTTTCCATGTAGGAATAAGCAGGACAAGAAAGTTCACTTTTACAAGAAATCTGCTTTCTTTTAAAGCCCCACTGCACTACTTATAGCTACTTGCGCCCTCCATATAGCAAAATGCCTAATAGGTGCCTGTTTGTCCCCCATGATCCCCTTCTTATGTTAATTGAGAGCTGATTTGATGGGATAACAACCTGTCAGTGACTTTGCAGGGAGGTCTAATCTAGTGGCCAAACTAGTGCAGACAGGCTTTAAAAGCCCATGAACTGTTTTGGTTTTGATTTTTTTCTTTCTCTCTCTCCCTACCTGAGAAATGACACTTTGTATATTAAATATTGAATCATAATCAAAGTTTTGATTTCCCCCTCCCCCCCCCCCCCCCCCCCCCTCCACCCTTTTTCCCCCAGCAAATCAAACGGTCCCAAGTCAGGAAAGGAATGGTGATGGTTTCTCCTGAGATCAACCCTGTTGCATGCTGGGAGTTTGAAGGTGAAATCTTGGTTCTCCACCATCCCACAACGATAAGCACCCGCTACCAGGCCATGGGTAAGTCCCCAGTGAATCATTTGATAAAGAGATGATAGGGTACAAATAATACACAGCAGTGAGGGCATTAGTAAGAATTACCCACACAAGGTACCTTTGGAAGAAGAGGACGTTTGGACTGTTTTGAAGGTACAGAGTGTACCGAGTGCCCGAAAAAAATGATGTATATTATTTGTTTTTATATAGATTATGTTGTACGCTTTATTTATTTTATAATACAATGTTTTATAACATGATTTTGATAATGACCAGTCATTACCATTGGATAATGACCGGTCATTACCATTGGAGAATGACCGGTCATTATCCAAATTACGTGTTAGGCAAAATAAATGCCTGGTCACGTGTACGCTCTCAACCAATCATTTGATTAGGATCTACGTCATCATCTTATAATACTAACTACAAATTCTAAGTATAGATTTGAATAGAAATGCAGTAAAAAGCTCTCTGTCCGGTACTCATCACATGAACATGCACAGAAAATAAAATGCTGATATCAAGCAATATTAAGGCAAACAAGGAGAATTAGCACTAAAAAATATTGGTGATTTTCTAACCAGTTACTCAAATTCAGCCTGGGGAATCAGTAAGTAACCAAAGCTAGCTACCACTTGCTTGTGGCAGTCAATTAAAAGCTCTTTCTCTCTATTTCATGTAAGGATTATGCATCAGATCACCATTGGTGTAGGTCACATAGGGACAGGAGACCAAAGCACCAGTCTATTTAAGATTGTATATTTAATCTTTAAGATGATTGGCCGTGTTGTCCTTTGGGAGTACCCATCAGACAAAGCAACGGCCCGTTTGAGATTCAAAAGTTTTTTTAATTTTTTATATTTGACAAGTTTTTATTGATCCAATAACACTTTTACATTCAACATAAACATAAACATAATACAAATATACAGCCATTTATATCCATGTAACAACAGTAAATAAAATGGATCTTTAGTATAAAGAATAGAAAACATCAGCAATCGTCAAAATTCCCCCTTCCTAGAACAAAAATGATTTTCGTCAGCGTCCTGTCATCTGCTGAACTGCTTAAATAGGATTATTTTTTTAAATTCAGGAAATAAAACGCCATTCTTCATTGTGCCTATCTATTTTGATGCGTCTTTCAGCAATAAACATTTCTACCGTCTGAAAATATTTAACATAATGTACAAAATGATGAACGGTTGGGCATGTTTTCTGTAATCCTACACCTAAAGATTCAATAGTTCATTGTCATGACATTCTTTGTTTACCTCTTCTCTTTGCTCAGTTCATGTAGGGAGCACCCGCCAGACTGCCTCTATCATCAACATGAGTGTAGACCACATGCGGACCGGAGACAAGGCAACGGTACGCTTCAGATTCATCAAGAACCCAGAGTATCTCAAGGCAGACTGCAGAATGGTCTTCAGGTATGTAAGCTATTTCTGGTTGATGACCTGGGTGGTGTTTCACAAAGATCCTAAGTCGACTTAACTCTAAGTTGGACTTAAATATTTTGGAGAGCCATTTGTATCCTTATAATGAAATATATTCATAAGCAAAAATTCAAGTATTTTAGACTTTTCATAAATTCCACATCAAGAACATGAAATCTCCCATGACAATAGAAAATATGAATGATTTTAATCAACATTTTATGTCTTTAAAAATAACTTTTACAAAATATTTGTTGATGCTAACGGCTTTCCATAATTGTTAAGTCCAACTTAGAGATAAGTTCAGCTTAGGATCTTTGTGAAACACCCCACAGACATTTACTCCTGCGACAATTGCTCCGGGCTTTATTTCCTCAAAGGTATAGGGTTGGGATTGCAGTTCGGTTTAAGGTTACAACACTTAACACTGGCACCCAGGACACATGCCCCCCCCCCCCCCCCCGATATTAAGTTCTGACCCCCAAATAGTCAAGAATGAAGGTAATATGGACGCAAAATTAGGCATGTATGTGGCTGTGTAAAGGGTTTACCTGTTCAGTGATTTCTCGTTACAAAATAATTAATGTCATCAATAATACAAATCATGAAAACAATTTGTACAGAATAGAATTTCATTGAAAGGATACATGTCAGTCTATATCAGATTAAAAAAAAAAAAGGTTTATAGAATAACAAGAATTGTGTACATGTTCCGATTCAAGTCAATGTCTAGTAGCTTTTTTGAAGAGAATCATTTCATTTAAATTTGGGAGGAAGCTCTCCGATCTTTAATGGCACAGGGGATGGATCACTTCGTTTTATTTCTTTGCAATTTTGCACATTCAAGAATTAGAACATATTAATGCTTTCACTATTAAAGATAAACTTGAGTTCTGGTAAAAAAAAGAAAATGAATTCTCACAGAATCTAACGAAACTTACACTTGAGTGTTCAAGATTACAAATAAATGTCATGTGCCAAACAATTTTGGAAGAAAATGTATACTGGCTGAGTAATGAGCATAGCAAGTTAAGGAAATCGAGGTAGTACTAGCCCTGACACCATTTGTGTTGTCTTATATACATTTTTCTGTGTACAGTGATTGCTACTTTACCAAGACTGGGCCAAATTTATGATGATTTTGATGACTCCAGAACCTTGCATTACACACCAATACTAACATGCTATATGATCAACTTTTCTGATCCATTCCATACCATTTCTTTTACAATGCAATCGCATTACCAGAACTCACCTTTATCTTTAATCAATTTTGGGAGTACTTAGTGGTTATATACATTTACTTTCTTCTCTTTGTCAAACAGGGAAGGCAGAACGAAAGCTGTTGGCAAAATCACCAAGATACTTCCCCATGCGCCTGCCACAGAAAACAAGCAGAAGCTCAAAGTAGGCAAGGGCAGGGGCCATCACACACAGGGCCCCAAGCCTCCCGACTACTCAGCCTCAGGCGGTGGGAGGGGCACTGGACGAAGGGGGCGTCATAGAGCAAGGGGGCCAGGGGATGTCGGTGCCACCCCATCAACAGTAGTAGTAGGAACGCAGTCTTCTCAAACAACCCTCGTTGGGGCATCGTAATGCCACTCCTAGTCTTCGTATAGAAAGGGAGGCGTTTTAGAAATTTACTGTACAATAGAGTACATCTTCAAATCCTGTTGATGTGAAGGTTCTGTAAAGCAACCCCTCCTCAAACTATATCCTTGTGAATTCAGAACTGCAGCGCTTAGCTTTGTTACAGATTGTTACAGATAGCCCATAATTTTGTAAAATAAGAAATTCACTCAAGATTTCATCTTTGATGTCGAATTCATTTACTTCCCATTAAACCTTGCCTCATTTTCATGATCATCATCAATCTGTGACTTCCAAAGTGATTAACATACTTGTAAAGGTGTAAATGCAACGATCACTTAATAGTCTAACTTCTATACATGCACAGTAGAACTATCATTTTTCATAGGCAATCGTTTTTAAATCAAATTTTTCAGGCATTTCATCTCCCCCCCCCCCCCTTTAAAAACCGGGCATGGTTTCACAATTTTAATATAAATAGATAGTTAATAGGCAATATTAACTATGGATAATCGATACATCTGCACACTCCTTTCACAATACTTAGTTTTATTTACCCAGATATACATGTATAGTAAAGTCTGTGTGACCTTTGCCGACTTAAAAACCTGCCTCAACCTGGACAAGTTGCATAAGTGCATCCTTATTTATTAATAATAATGATGTACATGTCTAAGTTTTGTAAGGCACCAAATCCACTTGCTTGAGGTGCACAAAGAGAAATTGCATCAATGAGTTGCGTACAAAATGGTAATTGGTGTGCATTCATTCTTATTGGTGCAATTGCATACTTACTTGGTGTGTGTGTGTGTGTCTCTCCCAATTTGACTATGATACGCCCATCAACCAAGGAAGGGTATGTAACTTGGCAGCCTAAATGCCAGGCATAATGCCATGGGCCGTAGTCTCTGTAGAGAAAGCATCAGTATCAGTATGTGGAAGAGAAGAACACTAGACAATGACATCATCTTCGTCAACGACATCTTCGAGCGAATTGCCGGCGAATTTTCCCGCCTCGCTCAGTACAACAAAATATGGGACTGTGGTTGAGACAGAAACAATAATGGTCTCTTTTTTAATTGCAATGTAGATAGTACATTTTGTAGATATTCTCCAACAGATTTTTGTTCTTTTTTATGTGTTGTTTTTCTGTAATATTCTTTCTTCCAGTTTGAACTTTTTTTTGCCAGGAGTGCTATTCTGAAAACTGACATCTTTTATAACAGTGAGACGTATGATGATTGTCTTGACAAATCTAATTTAGGACACATCATTTGTTGATGTCCGAGTTTTAAGTGGCTGATACGAGCTCTGTGCGACTTTAATATCATTATGGCAATGAACATATGTCTCAGCAACATCAAAGATAGCAGTATTTAGAATACCACTAAGTTTGACAAATGAAAAGCGTTTGACTTACAACCAAGTCTCATTTTTACATTTTATTGTTTTTATCTGATTGTTTTAAAATTATATGCATCTATGAACATTTTAAACTCTTGAACAACAATATCCATCAGAATCAACCTATGTAATTATTTTTCTTTTTCTTCTTCAATTAATAAATAGGTTTGTTGCTTTGTCATGCATTGTAGTCCAATTTTCTTAGGGCATAGTGATAGTTCTTAATTTTATTTTTTATTTCATTTTCCTTCTTTATTGGAGTTTTTTTACAAGAGAATATTTAATTACAATCTAATCAGGTTGTGTTGTTTTGAAGAAAACAATGTTTTGAAGAAAACAAAAATCTCATCTGGTTTTTAACTTATTATGCAGTTGACCACAAACCTCCCATTGCAGTGTTTAGATAGCTGCCATTTAGAGTAATAATCACTGTAAAAAGTAATTTAAAATGGCTATTGAGATAATTAATCTACTTTTAATCTAAATAGAGAATTCTGAAATGACAAAAGAAGAAATATGCGTGGCAAGAGAGATAAAGCAGTTTGAGTTCATGCCAAATAAATCTTAATTGTATTATAAAACAAATGTTTATTTTCTGAATCCTTGCTTTTCCTTCAACTCTATGATCATGGAAGAGAGAAAGAGAGAGAGAGAGAGAGAACATGGGGGGGGGGGGGGGGGGGGGGGTATGTAAATTGCGAAACTTGACACTAAACTTTAAAGGCCCATTGTACTACTTGTAGCTACTCTAGATAGAAAACAATGCCTAATCGGTGACCATTGGTCCCCCATGATCTTCTTTTTTTTTAATGTTAATTGAAAGCTGAGTTGATGAGATAGCCACCGGTCAGTTACCTTCCTTGGTAGTCTAATCCCTCCTAGCAAAACTAGTACAGACGGCCTTTAAAGACAACGCTGAGATGATCAACCTTTGGTTCAATATCGAGATTTAATGATGATAGACCGAGGTCTGAAGCCTTCCTTTGTTACATGTGTTCTTATACCAAGGGTGGGTTATCACTAAATTAGTAGAATACGAAGCATTGGAGTTAAAATACTCTTCAGCCTGTAACCGATTCTGGTAGCACAATAAATGATTTCCAGAAATTAAGTGAATCCAAAAGGAAACGTCTAAAAATTGCATAGCCCTGACATTCAACTTGAAGGATTTGTGAACAGAAATGAGTGCAATTCATAACTTTCATATTTTTTGTCCGATTTCAATCAAACTTTCACCAGTTTTGCTCCTCTGATTTTTTTCTGCTTTCTTTTAAGAGTAGCTTGATGTATAGGTTGGATGACCCTAAGGAGCCAATGCTACATATACAGCTATGGAGGGGTACATTGTTATTTCAAATAAACTTTTACAGATGTAATTGATGCCAACCCATAGAACATGACAAATATAGATGCATAATATGTCCCTACAACAATTTCTTTCTCTTTCAAGATAACCAAAATTAATTTTCAACTTATCAATAATAACACCAGTTTCTTCAATTTCAACATATCAATAATTACACCAGTTTCAACATTTCAATAATAACACCAGTTTTTTCCTTCTTTGCCTCAGAGGATTTATTAGGTATACATGGTTTACATTAAAAAACACAATGATACAAATCAAACTTACATAATCACAAAAGCATCATTATTGGCATAACAAAGAATTGAAATTGAGTTTTGTTTTGCAAAGCATTTGAATCATCATTAACATTATAAGAATTATACTGATAATTTTGTGATCCATACTCCTTGATGGCTACATCATGGTTTTAGAAACCATCCGTCTTATGCCTGCACACGCTTGTGTGTAGTGTCTAAGGGGTGGAAAAAAGGAGAGCAATGCGTGTGACGCAATGAAATACTACTTTGATATTCACGAGAATGTCCTTCTTAGCTCTGATAATTGAAAAATAGCTCACGTTCCAAAAGTGAAAAAAACATATAATTTACCCTTCCCTTCTTCTGAATGTTCTCATAGAAACATTTTTCCGGTAACTCCATTGTCTTTAAAAATAAATAAATCAGACTTTCATTATAAACTCTTGCCCATATTCTACTCAAATTTAAACCTGACACTTGCCCTGGCTTTTGTTCAAAGTCGGGTTCAAAAAAAGAAGTTAGTCTGAGGTCTAAATTTTCGATCAGGGGTCAGGTTTAACTGAATTAGTACAAAACAGACCTTTTTATCCAATTCAATCCAAAAGATATTTGATATAGCAACCGATGGAAAAGACAATTCACCAGCACGTTTCTTAGAGAGACACCGAGTGAGCTAGATGGATGATGATGATGAGTGGGTATTTCGGACTCGAGGACGGCGAACCAAGCAGTCAGCTATGACGGGGGACATCGGTGGTTGAGAGACTTGAAGACTAGTAGTATGATCTTAACAGCAATTCTTTGGCGTGCAGGCAGCCAATGAAGGATTCTAATACTACAGTATGTGTTCCAAGACTTCTGCAGATTGCTACTCCTGTAGGTTGAGATGGTCCCCATCTTGGATCTGCCTTTACATCGTCTCGTAGGAAGTTGACATCTCTTTTTAAATCATGTTCTGGTCCAACTTGGTGTCATATCTTACATTGCAGCTCCTATGAATTATGAAACAAACATGTATAATAATGTACTTACATAAGAATAATAATACAAACAAGGATCTGGACACTTTTCAACAATATTTTTTTGTGGTACATCGGCATCGAACGGGTAAAAAAGGAACAAATAGCCCGACATAATTAACTCTGTATGTTTTGGACTCCTTGAAAGTACATAGTGCCCTTTGGTAAGGCATTAATCCTCATTACCAGGTCCCTCGGAGAGGACCTAAAGCCATCGGCCGTCTGGTTGCTTACTTACAAGCATTTATGCTTTCTTAGCAGTCAGGTAAAATAACCACCACCACATTCAATTACATATACAATCAAAACATCAGCTTCAAACATTACTTTTGTAATTACTAGTGAAATTATGGATTCCTCGGCAACAAAAATGTGCTATTTCTGCCACCTCGATCCATAATTTCAACTAGAGCCTCTCAGTGCATGGTATATTTGTTTATTATCATACACTATACCTTGCTAACAGTAGAGTCAATGACCATTAGAGTCTGACCAGCTAGGGCCTTGCATTCAGGCTCAGGATCTCGCTCCAAAATATCTGAGAATAAAAAAACCCATCATGAAACAAAGACGTCATTGTCTTGCATGAGATAGAGGGTAAAGTGGTACCTCTTCTCGCATGTGCATACTGGTATTATACATGTACAGTGTATGTTATACTGAGAAGTGCATGGTTCTCATTAAACTTGTTACCAAAGGCAAATGCAAATTGTTTTCATGACAAATTTGCTCCCAGTCTATTAACTGCCAGGATTTCAGTAGTTTATAGTATTTATTGTAATTTGTTATTGATAACAAGTTTTATGGAAACAGTGCCCCGCACTCAAAAGAGTAAAAGAAAAGAAGTATTAAGATATTTATGAGCCAAATTGCATATTTTATGTCGGTCACATTTATCAAAACCATAGGAAAGTGAGTGGAAGATTCTATCATTCTGTTACCGCGAGAGCAAGATCTCTTCTCTCAATTTCAATTTTTATTCCATGAATGCAAAACATAAATCAATGCATAAAATACATATAGTAAAATACATACTCTCTTCATAAACCAAAAGAAAATATGGAATAATAAAATAAGTTTTTGTGTCAAGGGTAACATTGGCGGAAAAATCCGCCAATTCCTAACCAAAGAAGCTACTAAGCAGCTGGTTCATGCCCTGGTTATATCTCGCATAGATTTTTGCAATAGTTTACTATATTCTCTTCCTGATGTTCACACCAATAAATTACAAAGAATCCAAAACTCAGCAGCAAGACTAATCACTAAAACTAAACGCAGAAAACATATAACACCCATACTATTGCACTGGCTGCCAGTTAAGTCCCGTATTAATTATAAGATCCTTTTACTGACATATCAATGCCTAAACGGTACAGCCCCGTCTTACCTCCAAGATCTCATTCTACAATATACCCTTACCAGAAACTTAAGATCAAATAGTAAATCCCTCCTAGTAGCTCAAAGCACTCAAACAAAATATTATGGCACTCGCTCTTTCAGAAATTCTTCGGCCGAATTGTGGAACAGCTTGCTTGATACTGTCAAACAGGCAAGCACAACAGAATCATTTAAAACTCTGTTGAAGACCTATTTTTTTGTAAATTGTTAATTTTGTTCCAGTTGTTTAGTGACTTCTTTGGTTATAGTATCATGTACATATTTAATATTTAATTTATTTTTCATTTAATTTTCATGTTTTCTCATGTTTAAATTTGTATTACCTGAATTTACAATGTAGGCCTATTACATGTAAGCTATTTAGGAATTGTGTATCATTATTGTTGTTTGTAATTAATTATTTTCATGTATCAGGCATACATGTTCATTTCTATTCCACCCTTTTCCTTCTTTTCTAAGTGCATAGGGACTTTCTTTATGTGAGTGATATGCGCTATACAAATAACGTTCATTATTATTATTATTATCAAGTACAGCTATTAATACCTTGTAACCAATGACGACATTCCAAAATGTCGTTTTGGAGATCAGTCACCAGTAGGTGGGCAGGAACACTCAGTGTAACCATGGAAACTGCAAACATCAAGGACTGCCTTACATACCTGTTTTAAAAAAAAAATGAAATTAATTGTTACAAGCGGAGGTGTAGTTAAACAGTGTCTACTTCACAATCAAATTTGGGTAAAAAATCATCCCTTTTCCCCATCTTAAACAAATAAAAGTGAGGATAGCTGAGATGGGTAGTTGTTTGAACAGGAGAAAGGGTTTTGTCCAGGGGGTCATGAGAGGATTCCGAGAGGATTCCATGAGGATTCCAGGGGCAATACTACACTGCAAGTGGATCATGAGGAAAAGAAGCCCTGACATCCCCTGGGTGTGTGAAATTTGTCACAGGGTCCTTGTAGCTGGGTGGTGATTAGTACTTACTGCTCAGTGTGGTACCTGAGAGACCATATCAGATCCAGCAAACTAACAGCCATCTGACGACATACCTACACAAAGACATCAAAGACAGACACAATTGAAAAAAATACCTACAAAAGAATTTAACTCGATGTAATTAAAACTTGGTAAGTCCTATCACAAATCAAAATAAAAGAAATGGAGGCAGTGATCGGATCATTATCTGACTCTCAATATGACTTTCGTCGTACACGTGAGTTCCTACGCTGAGCAGACAATGTTTGTGAACGCATCATGTGTAAGCATGCCCCTTCCTTCTACTCTCGATACAGGCTTGGGCTGTGCAAGCCTGTGGGGAAAAACACTCTCTGTACCTTGGACAGAACGTTTAATACAACTAGAGGCCACGTTTGAAGGAGAGACACCCTATACTACTATGCATGTTAATATGCTGGAAACACGATGTTTAGTATGCCTGTAATACACAACAGGTTATCTACATTTAAAAAGAATCTAGAGACATGATCACATGTTATTTTAGTTAATTATATGTTGAATGTCCATCTGTGCATTTTTTTTCTTCTCATTTCTCTATGTATCTCATTCTATTTCTATCCCTCTGCGCCTCAGAATAGTTTACTAAATCGATGGCACATAATAAATGCTGTATTATTATAATTATTACATTCATACAGATCTTTGGGCTAGGCACTGCTTGCAGACTAACTTACTGGTGCATTTTGTGCGGCATACATGATGATTCCTAGCGTGTACATCAGCCTTCCTAAGAGTAGAAAGTCACTTCCTAGTAAGTCCATTGTGTTCAGCTTACTGCAGAGAAATAACAACAAAAGTAATGGAGGCAGTGTGGCCCAATCAAATCGTTTTCCAGATCTCATTAGGACTTTGGTTATACACATTGGTTCGGGTCGTACGGTGAGGTTACACAGGCATAACAAGATCATAACCAGTACATGAATCCCTAACGTTATAATAATGTACCATTTGCTCCAGTCAAAGTTGATCTGGGCTTTACTTTGTCGAACATATAGCAGGGTTCCAACAGAATTTTGATAAGCAAATTCCCTAACTTTCCATGACCCATTAATAACCGTTTCCAATGACAAGATTAGTACTGATTTGGCATGGGTTGTGGTGTAAAAATATCACACAGTAATATAGATTATTTCATGTACGTTCCACTATTTTGGCAAATCAATGCCCAAAATCTAAGTGTCCCAGTTATTAATTCAGTAAATGAGAATACCAATGTACTTTGCAGCTGAAATTTCAGAGCACCTTTTGTAGCCCAGGGTCATGAGTCATATAATCAGTGAAAATTTGTTATAGATGATTTGTGTGATGTAGCACGCTGGTATTGTTGTGTTCTGAATTAATACATGTATGCTGACCTGTCATATGCCTTTAGGAGTGGGAAGAAAAAATGGCCAGCCATCGGAGCAAAACGGTTGGCGACTGGACTTGGAGCTGGTTTGCTTGGACCCTGTGCACAGAAATATATAAAAGGGAAATATGTACATAGTTGCATTTGGCAGTTACTTGTACAAACATAATTCTTTTTCACACAATTGGCTCTATAAATAATCGTGCCATATTTCTGAAGTCTCTCATTTTGTTGTTCACATTTCTGGATCTTAAACTAGGTTTATCTCTTATTTAAACACTAATGATCTAAAATCCGTCTAGGCTATAGTAAGCAAATTGGGATATATTTAATATCTGACAAGAAAACATGATAAATAATTCATTGTATGGTTCCAAGTATTTCATGGAAATAAATTCAACAGAAATTTTCCAGATGGAGTTTCAAAATTGTTGATGCCAGTTAGAATCGATCAGAGGGCTTGAAAATTACCTAGCACAAGCCACAAGCCAAAAAAGCCTAAACTATGGCATGAAAATAATTCGCCAGGGCCTGAATTCAGGCTTTTGCCTGTAAACTGGCATCCCTGTTAATAGTTTGCTCTACTGTACTTAGTCGCTGGGTCAAGACAGAGACCCCAAATGACCCAAGACTAGGAACACCTTCGACATCCTACCAGAGAGATGGACAAAACATACTACCTTTGCAAACCTCCTTGTCTTGCTTTCAATCCTCTTCTCTACAATGTCTCTCCAGTTCTCCTCATGTTCCTCTTTGAGTCCATGTCCTTGTGGATTCAGGAGCTCTGTACTTCTATCCATGGAGGCCGTAGGGCATGGGCCATCATCTGAGGGTTTGGAAAGCTCCTGAGCAGCTGCAGCTAATACCTACATAGGAAGAGGAAGAGAGGCAAGGGGTTATGGAAATGAGAGAAAAAAGGGGGAGAGAGAGAGAGAGAGTGGGGGAGAGAGAGAGAGAGAGGGGGGTAGAGAGAATGGAGGAAGGAAAGGAAGGAGGGGATGGACAGGAGAGAGAGAGAGAGTGGGGAGAGGGAGAAGGGAGGGAGAAACATTGGAGGAAGGAAAGGAGGGAGAGAGGGGATGGACGGGAGAGGGGGGGGGGGGGGGGGGAGGAAGACAAAAGAAGGTAGGTAGTGAGGAAGGGAAGAGCATAAGTTGCGAGTTGTTTATGATATTTTTAGCCCTACAGTCTGCCATTATCCCCTGTAATACACGGTAGGCATTATCTAATTAGATCTAGAGGCATGTTCCTACAAATAGCCACAACGTAATGTAGCTCATTTGCATACAGTAATGTGCGCATCAAGTAGGGTTAGGGTTAGATTTAGGATTAGGGCCAGTGTTAGGGTTGGGGCTATTTTTTAGAAACATGCCTCTACAATTGATTAAATAATTCCTATTGTAATACACCTATTCAACTTTTTTTTTCTTTCAAAGACACATTCATTACCCAATAAAAAAACCATACAACCCAATATGGACCATGACTTAAATCCTCACTGCACTACTTGCGCCCTCTATATAGCAAACAATGCCTAATCGGTGCCTGTTGGTCCCCCATGATCCTCTTTTTCTTATGTTAATTGAGAGCTGATTTGATATGAGGTCTAATCCCTTAGCCAAACTATTACAGATACATGTACATGTAGCTTTAAACCATCGCTCTTCAAACTACCATCAAAACACAATGATCAAGTCTCTCAATGTTTCTACATGTATACACGAAGTCTTCATCGTATATACCTCTAATATATCCATCCTCTGTCTGATGTTGTAGTTTCTGTTGTAGAACTCTCCGGTCAGATAACTTGATGTCTACAATGAAGAACAAATACAAAGAAATCAATATCATCATCATCATCATCGATATTGTAGCCATTATTATCATCATTATTGTATATATTACTATTACTATTAGTATTATTATCAAAATTATTATTATTATCATTATCATTATTATAATCAAAATTATTACTATTGTTATTGTTATCATTATCATTATTATTATTAAAATTTATACTATTATTATTATCATTATTATCATTATTATGATTATCATCATCATCACCGTCATCATCCTCATCATCATCATTACCACTATCTACTTCATACTTTTGGCCAAAAAAAAAATGAGCCAATTTTCATATGGCAGAGGGGTACCGGGGTGAATATGAATATATGTAATCTATGGTCGTACCTCAAGAGGGGAGTTGACGGCTAAGGCCACCATAGCAGAGTGTCTTAGGTATCTGAAGTTATCAGTGTTGTACTGGTCCTCAAGGTGAAGTAAGATGGCTGCAAATTGACTGCTAACCTGTGTCACAATGTCAAAATATAAAATAATAATAACAATAATGAAGTGTCTCGTTTAACCAGGGTAGCCTCATCAGTATTAAAGCCCCACTGCACTACTTATAGCTACTTGCACCCTCTATACATCCAACAGTGCCTAAGCGGTACCAGTCGATCCCCCGTGATGCCCTTTTCCTTTATGTTAATTGAGAGCTGATTTGATGAGATAACCACCTGCCAGTGACCTTGCAGGGAGGTCTAATCCCTCCATGCCAAACTAGTGCAGAGGGGCTTTAAAACTGTTTAAAACTGCAGAGCTACCGTGACGAGGCGCTCAAGCATTCAAGGAATTTCTCAGGTACCGTTGACTTAACCTGGATGGAGAGTGGCAAGATATCAATCTACATTTGCCACTCTCCACCCAGGTTTAGTAAGTGGGACTCAAACTGAGAACCCTGTGATTCACAGTGCAGCGATGTATCCTCTACAAATTACATGTGTGTATGCTAAATAACTTAACTACTCCCAGAGGAGCATAACCCCTTGGACAACTACCCTTCATTTAATTTAAAGCCCCAACGCCCTAGTTTGGCCAGGAGGGATTAGACCTCCCTGCATGGTCACTGACAGGTGGTTATCTCATCAAATAAGCTCTCAATTAACATAGGTAAGAAAAAGAGCATCATGGGGGACCAATGGTCATCGACTAGGCATTGTTTGCTATATAGAGGGCGGAAGTTGCCATAAGTACTGCAGTGGGTCTTTAACTCTTAGGTCGCTGTCTGGGTAAGGGGTAGTTAGTGCAATGGGGTACTTGTCAAGGGGGTGGGGGGTGTACTTGTTCATGGCAGGTGTGTGTATTTGATGGGGATATAGTACCCATGGCAATGATAATAATACATAAGGTATTCTCTCACATCCTTTAAATCATCTGGTTTTGCTCTGATGAGTTTCTCCGCCACCTTGAGGCTTGCTTCAGTCAGCTCAGGAGCATCTCTTGCAGTCAAACCTGTGGAATGGAATGAGAGAGGAAAAGATTTCACAAGATTTGGCTCAAACATGAAGAGCTACAACAATAGGGAAATAAACAGAGAAGATTAGTTTGAGTGAAGCAAACATGCTGAAAATTACAGAGAAAGTAGCAATACACCTAAGAACTTTTAATTAAAATACTTTTCACAATTTTGGGTGAAAAAGCTTCTCTTGATGTCAAGCCTATGAAATATAAAATATCCCCTGGAAAATAACACATAGATAAGATGTTTCAAATTACCACTCAAGGTTATTGTTAAGAAATTATTGCAGGATATCAAAAGTTCCGTTGAAATTGAACATGAAACAAACAAAAAAGAAGAGAAAATTTTACAAAAACATTCCACTATTTCTTACCATCAATGCAGTCCCGGACATAAACTGGTATTTTGACCTTTGTGACCTTGGTGTCATGTGACATGTCGTACGGTTCAAAATCATCATCACTAAATGGAAAAGAGATGAAAAAGGCCCAATGAGATACATGTATAAAGACGCAAATGGCAGTGTGTTTTTTAAAAGCGTGTAATTGAATGGCAACTGCGTGGAACAAAGGTCTATGTTCATTGAGCTCTGTGTTAGAAGGTACAGAAATGTGAAATTTGTTTGAATTGAACTTGAATTTGAACTTGAGTTTGAATTGAAATTTGAAGTTGAATTTATTAACAACACATCACAACAATGACAGTACATTTTATTACGAACAATCATGTAATGCACAAAGTAATGCTGATACATAACAGAAGAGTAATGTTGATTGAACAGTAATGGTTTTAAAACTATATTTAGACATAGCCTGCATACTATTAAATGTACAAAAATTGAGATATACGCATAAATATGTGTATTACTAATATTTAGGTGAAGTTGTTAATGGGAACCAGTAGTTAGCACAAGTGCACTTTAACAATGTGGTTTACTGCTTCATATCTGATTGAGGCTTTCCAGATAGAAACATTCAAGCAGAATGTACACATGATCTACACAAAACAGATTCACAATGCAGATGTAACTTTCATTGATAATGCGATACAGTTTGTCAATTTTTATAATATCAACACATGAATCCAGGCTCCCCCTCACATGACTCCAAAGAGAGAATATTCGACCGGTTTTGTGCTTTTATTTGGTACTGCTCCAGCTTTGTGAAAACTGCCTCTGAACCTTGCAAACCAGGTGGGTGTTTCACAAAGCCTTTTTCAATAACAAATGACCCCAAAAAATGACAAATCTGCTGATAACCAATCAGAAGCAAGGATTTCAGTAGCTTATATTAAACAAAGATTGTCATTAGTCACTGATGACAAGTTTGGTGAAACGGGGCCCTGTATCTAAAATGACAACATGTTTTTTGGTCACCTGTCTAACTCTTCCTCCTCCTCCTTGTTCAGTGCATCAGGGATTCTAGGATCTAACGGGTCTTGAGATCCACCTGGCCTACGTGGATCAGGCACAAGAGCTACTTCATCCATCTCCCTGAAAAGAATGGAAAATACCATGTTGAGGGGTCAATGACACAAAGACGTGACTCCATTTTGAGAAAAAAAGTGGTTTATGTGTAAGTGAGCACTTGGGTCTTAAGGAGTTACATGTAAGTCTATGTTTCACTAGCCATTGACTTCAATGTGGTGTTGGGTGGAGTTAAGTCTTTGTGTTTCCATTTTTCTGAATATTCTGATATCAATTACTCATTTTGGCAAAATATGGAGTTTACATATTTGGTACAATATGTGAAAAGGTAAGTAAAATTTAACATGTAGCTCACATTCATGTTATTTCCCTTGTCAAAATAAATTTTGATAACTAGTCGAAAAGTAGTGGAGAAAAACAAAGTACAGAAAATATTATTTTGAAACTATTTTCAACTCTGAATAAATTGTTCATCAATATTTTGTTCCAAATCCTTTGCCTAAAATATATTTTGTTCCAAATCCTTTGCCTAAAATATATTTTGTGTCGATTTTCCATTTTTTCAAAAAGAAAATAGAGGATTAATACTTTAGCTTCCTAGGAAACACTATAAAGATAAAGAGAAAATAGCAAAAATATATGTTTTTTGCATGTGAAGAACAAGCAGGGTACCTATTCATGCATGTTAATGAATTATAGATTTTTTTTTTCACACCAACTTGCCACTCATTTTCATGTATAGTGAAATATGTACCGGTATACAAAGGCTGCACAAGGGAAACATGAAAAGTGGTCTTTATAGGCAGGTGGTCTTTATGTACATGTTCCTTTCAATGAGAAAGACTTTTCAAGGGAAACAAAACATGTGGTCTTTATAGACAGGCAATCTTTCTATGCAGGTGGTCGCTATTAAAGGTAGGTTTGACTATTCATTGTTAAGTAATTAATATTTTTGTGATGAGGTAGCTTTTTTAAGATCTGCTTACTTGATGAGTGAATCCAGCCCAGGATCTTCAGGGGGCTTGATCAAGGACCAGAGCAACCGACTCTCTTCATCCTCCTCGCATTCGAAGGTTAACTTGGGGCCACTGGGGTCAAGGGTCGTTGCCATGATCTCTGCTGCCACCATACCCAACCTTCTGACCCGGAGGATGGGGCTCTCAAGATGAGCTTCTACCCCACCCATCAAGAGAGTGGTCAGGTCTGATTAAGAGAAAGAGAGAGAGAGACAGCAACAGAGAAAGGTTGAGAGAGAGAGAGAGAGAGAGAGAGAGAGAGATTGCAAGAGGAAGTGGAAGAGAAAGAGAAAGGGAAAGAGAAAGAGAAAGGAGAGAGAAAGAGAAAGGGAGGGACAAAGAAAGAGAAAGGGAAGGACAAAGAGAGAGAAAGGGAGAGACAGCAACAGAGAAAGGTTGAGAGAGAAAGAGATTGCAAGAGGAAGTGGAAGAGAAAGAGAAAGGGAGAGAGGGAGAGACAGCAACCGAGAAAGGTTGAGAGAGAAAGAGATTTCAAGAGGAAGTGGAAAAGAAAGAGAAGGGGAGAGAGAGAGAGAGAGAGAAAGAGAAAGGGAGAGAGAGAGAGAGAGAGAGAGAGAAAGAGAAAGGGAGAGACAGAGAGAGACAGCAACATAGAAAGGTTGAGAGAGAAAGAGAGATTGCAAGAGGAAGTGGAAGAGAAAGAGAGAAAAAGTAAAGGGAGAGAAACAGAGAGAGAGAGAAAGGGAGAGAGAGAGAGAGAAAAAAAGAGAGAGAAAGAGAGATTGCGAGAGGAAGAGAAAGAGAAAGGCAGAGAGAGAGAGAAAGGGCAGAGAGAGAGAGAGAGAGAGAGAGAGAAAAGTAAATGCAACAAGAATTGAACTGATTTTTAGATCATGCCCACTCTCATGTTTTTCAACGTGGTCCTGATTAAGGACATACAACATACAGTAAAAAATAAAACAATTGAAATTTTCCTATTCATTTAGAAAATTCACCTACCATACGTATAATCAAATTTAACACAAAGGGTACAATGATTGTTTCTTTGGATTCTCTTGTTAAATATCTCTTGTTTTCCAATTCTTAAATGATTTGTTATCTTTGATTTAATTGATTTATATTATGATATGATTATATATATATTTTGACTTTGGTTGAAATAAATATGTACCTAGTTTGTACATTACTTCTTATTATGTTGAAGAATGAAGAAATCGATAAAAACAAAGCACAATAGAAGGCTTACATGAATATTCAAAGTAATGAGAGTGATTGCATGAATATTCAAAGTAATGAGAGTGATTACATGAATATTCAAAGATAATGAGAGTGATCACATGAATATTCAAGATAATGAGAATGATCACATGAATATTCAAAGTAATGAGAATGATTACATGAATATTCAAAGATAATGAGAGAGATTACATGAATGGTTTATTACCTCCTTTGTGCTTCTGTTTCTCCGCCTCATTAAGATGTCCAACACAGATGACAATGACCATGGTCAGGTAGGCATGCTGGCTGTGTGATGTATGTTTCACAGCTGACCGGTCACCCCATGTACTCAACACACTCCTCAGCACCTGCACAATTTGGGGAATACTGTTCATGACAAGTTCTGTATACTCTTTTACCAAAAAAAAAAATATATATATATATATATATATATAAAACAAAACAAAATCACATAACAAAAAAAGGACGTTGGTAGGAATGCATTTAGGAATTCACTTTAAAAAAAATACTGCCTTCAGGGCAACAACAGTTTCATTATAAAATTGAAGCAGAGTCACTGGAACGAACATCAAGAGACACGGACACAGCGAACTCATGAGAACCTCTACGAGCACTAGCTGAGACCCTGTAAGATGATGACCAATACTTCAGCGCATCTTCCGTTGCTACCAATGGGACCCAACGGCAGCAGAGTCATGAACTTCTAGTAAATGTATCAGAACTAAGCTGAACTAACTTATATTTTTACTGATTAACAGAGCTGGATTTCAATCCCCCAAAACAAACAACACCCGATCATCACATCACCTCTTGAGGTAATGGGGCTTTAAATGTTTGTACTTTTAAAATGATGTGTTTTCCATTGGGTGAGGAAGCTAGATAGCTAATCAAATTTCTGGAGAACTACATTATACCGACTGATCTCTTCGTTTATTATTAATACAGATATATACGTATGTGACATGCACTATGGTTTTAATCATCTCATTTATATTATGCAGAACCAGATGCTCTTCAAACTAGTCTACACTTCTTGGGGGTGTTTCACAAAGACTAAGATCAACTTTGAGTTGGACTTATCTATGACAGGCCATTCATGCCACTAGTTCCTCTTACCATTCCTGGCATTGGTTTATCAAGGGATGTACAAAACATGGTCACAAATCTACAAAATTTACCTTTTTGATACTTCATTAGTGAAGTTTAAGATATTATCTAAAGATCATAATTGAGAGACCAATGGTGAGAGCAACCAGTGGCATTAATGGCCTGCCAGAGTTAAGTCCAACTTAAAGTCAATCTTAGTCTTTGTGAAACTCTCCCCTGGTGAGAATGGGGCTTTTACCTTCAATATCAAGTGTCTTCTGGTAGGTGAGGAAGCCAGATAGCCAATCAGATTCTGCGGGAACATAACATCCGCAAAGTGACGCAGGAGCAAGAACTTGTTGGTGAGAAGGAAGTTGATCTTGGAATTTGTGAGGACAGCATCACACAGGAGTCTAGAGACATAGCCATACCTGAAGGTAAAAAGAAAGTATGAACCCTAGTTCGGTTAATTAAAGAGTAATCATAAATGTTGTCTTGAAATTTCAACATCGCCATCAATTTTAATCATTCACAAATCAATTATAAAAGTTAACAATAAATAAATATATAAAGATAGGAAAGACCCTATGTATTTAAGAGTGATCTTAAATGTAGTCTAAAGATGTAAACAATTTTTGAATTATTCACAAAATGAATGAAATGCTGATATTCCCAGAACAACAACAATCATATGCCAGGAAAGCCTTTTTTCTGCACTGTATCGAATATTGCAATAGTTTGGGTAAAATGGTGAAAATGTTGACTGAAAAAAAAGGGGAAAAAAATCTTTTACAAAATTTAAAGATTGGGTTCTGGTAAAGGTTACAAATTGTGTGCATGTTATCATTCTTTTTATGTCAGTTTGGAAGATTTTCATGAAAGAAATGTCAACTGATAAGGATTGCTCAGTCGTTACATTCAAAATATGACAAGAAACAGCTGAAATGTTTGGACCAAACATTCATGCCGCATGTGTGTGTAGTCCCTGATGTACATTTCCATGTGCAGTCCATGTGACTTTCCGCCAAGAGAAAGTCAACTTCTTATTTTCATGACTCCAATGGTTTAATTTCCTACATATAAGGCAACCTTTCCCAAATGCTTCCAGACAGACAGTTTCTTTCACAACATAATCACATGAACAGAACTTGATCTTATCTTCAACTCGGCCACCATCCAACAACAGAATCTGAAAGCTAAGTGCAGGAAAATATTTCTTGTTTACACCTCATACCATTCATTACATCTGGTCTTTTAAAAGCTGTAATCAAACATCATCAATACACACATCTATTCCATTAAAAAATAAAAACATCATAAAGTCCCTTATCCTCGTCTTTTTTTTACTGTCATTTCCATAGTCACTGCTTCTCTTGCTATACAAGAATGTCTTATAAATAAAAAATGTTGGTCAAAAGAGTCAATGCTAAAGAGACCCCAGGTTCAACTCCTGGACAGGCCCCAATTTCTGAGGTAGGGTGGTTTGACATTTATTCCCTCATTTATCAAATATAATCACGACTACTGCAAAACAAGATTAATTTCATCACAATCAGCGTAGGTATACGCATACTTTAACAGTCAATTCTACATAATCATTACTGTTACCAAGGGCACTGTCTGAGTAGGTATTCAAGGATGATTTCTAAACTCCGCTCTGGAGCCCCAGCGAAGATTCGGTTAGCAATGCGAGACCAGACAAAATCAGAGGCGGTCAACTTCAGAAGTTGTGGAAGGAGTACGCCAAAAATCCTCTCTGTGAAATTACCCAAAGGAAAACGAAAGAAGAATACAGACATTTTCCTTGTGGTATAATTCATCATCTCAATTGTTCGACAGAAAAATTTCACCAAACTCTCTTGAAAATCATTCAGTGGCAGAAAAGGTCTGCCTGTTCTTCAGTATATATTAAAAAAAACACAAACAAACTTTCCCTTAGTTAGGTATTCATCAAGGATTGTTTAAGGATGCGTACATGTACAATGATCATTGCATGAGCCTGTACAAGTACACTTAAACATATTTTGTTCTAACACCACAAATATCTTGAACAATATTGACAAATTGTTCTGCATCATTGTGTGGGTATGTTTTCATATTAATAATTAGTATCAATGACTACTGAAATAAAGCTATAACTATTAAAATCATCTTTAAAACATAGAAAAGAAAACAATCTTACCAGTGTGACCTTGAATACATAATCTACCAATCAGCTCACTCACAAACTGTAGGGAAGCATTTTCAGACTCTAAAAATAGCAAAGATTAGATAAATGACATTATTAATGTCATTAAGAGTCTTTCTTATTAACAAAGGTAATAACAAAATGGTAAGATAATGGTTTATTGAAAGAAATCATTTTTAGCCAACTAGCCGAATTGTAGAATCTTGTACAAAGGAAAAAAGTACCTACTAAATAATTGTTTTTAATATACAACCAGAACATAAAAATGATGCATAAAATCAGAGAATAATACATTGAAATTAAATTCATGCCATAGGAACATAAAATATAGGAAATTATCATCATGATAAAGATATAACATTGTACTTTAAACATAGTACCAAAAAATTCACTCATGGCATGCTAGACACACTGTAGCACAAGTGTGTCATACTTTTGAAAGTTGTGTTCAGCTCTTTGAAGCCGGGGAATAATACTGCATGGACAGTAATGGCATTAAAGCTTATCTTCCATAGTTTACAGGAGGGATTAGAGCGCCCTGCAAGGTCACTGGACAGGTGGTTATCTCATCAACTCAGCTCTCAGTTAACATAAGAAAAAGAGGATCATGGGGGACCAATGGTCACCGATTAGGCATCGTTTGTTATATAGAGGGCGCAAGTAGCTACAAGTAGTGCAGTGGGCCTTTAAAGGGCAATTTGTGCTAAACTTTTGCATGTTTTGGTCTAGTGTTATTATGCTTTATCCCCATTGATTGATGTATTCATGTAAAATCATGTGACAAACTTGATGTCCTATTAGCAAATGTACAAATACTATTTCTTGAACAAGAAAGCTGCAAGCATCATAAGATTGTTGGTAATGGAATTACTTGTGATTGAGATAATCTACTCCCCTGAAAGCAAGGTATAGAATGCAAAATGATATTCTACTTCACATCTAATGAAGTCAGATCAAGAACACAAATAAATACAAAGAAAACGAAAGAATTGTGAAATTTGATGTATAAAAGGCATGGAGAGTTGTCCACAAATGATGTCATCAAATTGAATAACGCCCTCTAGTGACTAGTCATTTAAAAAAGCTTTAACTTCTTTATTCCTTGCTCGATTTTGTTCAAATTTTCACTGATTTTATTCAAATATCTTACACTTTTCAATAAAAGTAACTTAGTATGAAGGTTTTGGTTCCCTTTAAACTGAAAAACTGCAAAATGTAAGATGCATATTGAACTCACTTGATAATTTCTCATACACATAGTGTAATGTTTGTAGTATCTCCTTGGCAACCATTGGAATAAAGTGATCTGGCAGGAAGAAGTCACTGTCAAGGGTAGTACAAGAAGGAGGTAAGAAAACAAAATTACAGGGCAACACAAATCTATTTCATCATCAATACCAATCAAATAATGTGCCATATTTCCTCCCTATTTTAGGGGGAGGGGGGGGGGGGGGGGGGGGGGGCTTAGACCTACAATATTGTGTATTAAGGTAAAAGTAAGTAAAGTAAAACAATGTTTCACTCTAACTGGACTGCCTAAAGAAACAACAACATAACTACTGGTAGAAGTAAATTATCATCCACACTTTATGAAAAAGAATATACGGATCTATCATTGTATCATATATCATAGCTGGACTATAAACACAGCACAATTTGCAATTCTTTTGAAAAATAATGAGAAGAATCAAAAAACAATCAGCAGTCTACCTGCATTCTTTCTTCAGTGCATTAGCCATCCGGTCAGGTAGGGTCGCAAGGACAGTCATGACCTGTGACCTTTGACCACTCGGTGCCAGTGACCTGGATGAACCAGCGGTGGGAGACTGACAGATTGTTGACCCAGGCAAGACATCACACGTGGAACACAACATTGCCTGCAGCTGATGATGGCGAAAGAATTCTTCCAGGAGCATGACGCATTTCTTCTGTTTGAAGCTTGGACTGGCAGAGAGAGAGAGAGAGAGAGAGAAATGGAGATAAGGATGGAGAGGAAGAGAGACAGAAAAAGAAAGAGAGATTGAGAGATAGAAAGGGATATGGAGAGAGAGAACGAGAAAAAGTAAGAGGGAGAGAGACAGAGAGAGACAGAGAGAGAGAGAGAGGGGAGGGGGGAGAAGGTTATAAACTAATTCAACAAATGCATAACAGCAGACAATCTAGATCTCTATTATTTCATAGCAACTTATTTTTGAAAAGAGGGATTGTCACAATAACTCCTGCAATTAATTTTAGAGCGTGCTTCAACTGCCCAACACTTTACTACCCCTACATCTTGGATGTAAATGTATTGTAGATTGTGAAAATGCTGATAGCATTATCCGTGCAATCGAGCAGGGTAGCAAAAGGAAGTCTGAATAGAAAAGCAGACAACGGCTCCATTCCGGCTTCTGTTTCCGTTTCTACATGTATGATCCGAAATGGAAAAATGAGTGTAGCCTACTAAGTTGACAGTCTTTATTAGTATTACACTAAATTAAGTATAATAGTCTACACTAATTTTTGTAACAGCCATTCTCTAAAGACCAATTTTGATGAAGTTACCAGATCTATAATACAATAAAAATGTCATTTACACAAAGTGAAAACTAAAATTTTTACTCAGAATTTGCATCACAGATTATTCAGCCACCCCCCTGAAAAAAAGAAAAGAAACAAAAAATGGAAATTGTTGAATATAAAATGCTGGAATTCTTATGTTATGATCTACATGAATTTCTATTCATGACCATGCATGATAACATTTTAAGTCTTTCCATGAATGGAATGTCATGAACATCATTACAAAAAAATCAGGGTGGACTGCAAAAAAAAAGAAAAGAAGCAGTTTATATTTCAGTACACAGTGCCTACATGTACCTGCTATTCTGTACGACTCCACACAATACAAGCAGGGCATCTTGAGGGAGACCTTCCAGGAAAAATTTGTTGAACAACCTGTTGCCTTCTTGACTGCGCCCAAAGTTTCCATACCATTCAAAGCTCAGGATATTGCACAAGAAATTAAGAAAATGGACATAGTTGCTCTGATGAATCTCTTGTTTCGCTAACTCCGAATCATGGCTAGGCAAATCAGTAATTCTGAGAACATCTTTGAAATGTGATGAGTCCCCTGATTGCAGCAGCAGATTTGCAATTTGTTCGAGAGCTGCACAAAGCTCTTTTGCACTTTTCGATGTGGAAAGCACATTCTTTGCACCAGTCAGACATTTTTGTGCAGTACTTTTTATTTCTGATAAGCTGGCCATTTCCTACAGAGTAGACAAATGCTGATATGATTTAGCTCCAACAACTCGTCACACATGTTCCTCACCGCCACACAGGAATCGTTCTTCCACCAACATATAGATGAACCAACCCGGCACAGAAATGGACAAAGGGCTAATGTGCTTGACCTCGTATTTACAAATACCGCCGAATTGATTATTTCGATCGAATACCTGCCTCCTCTAGGACTAAGTGATCACGTATGTCTATTAGCAGAATTAGACATATTACAGGAAACAGAGAAGACAAGAAAGAGAGAAATTCGTACAATCTATCAGAAAGGAGACTACAAAACTATGAACGAAACCCTGGAGACGATAGAATGGGAAAAGGTCTTTGCAGATAAGAACTGTGAGCAGGCATGGAATATATTTCTCCACAGAATAAAGGAATGCGTGGAAAATTATGTACCTGTACGGAAGTGTAATAAAGACAAAAGACGAAATATTTACATAACAAGGCCCATCTTGAAACTGTCTAAGAAGAAGACACGTTGCTGGAAACGTTATACAGATGAGAACAGAACAAGAGAGGAAAGGGAAAAGGACTTCAAAGACTATAAACAACTAAGGAACCAACTTAGGAAAGCAACAAGAGTAGCTAGCAGAAGTTTTGAAGCAGATCTTGTAGAGAACATTGGCCAAAATCCCAAAGCATTTTGGAGGTACGCCAACAGCAAGGTGAAGAGTAAGAGCCATATTGTGAGTCTCATGAAGGAGGATGGCCAACCAGCTCAAACTGACAGTGAAATGGCAAACATTCTTAATGAATACTTCTCCAGTGTATTCACTCAAGAAGACCTGCAGAATATACCAGACATACAAGTACCCTTACGAATGGACTTACCTACATTAAGCAAAGTAAACATACTAGTGAGCGATGTTGAAAACAAGCTTAAAAAGCTTAACACCAACAAGTCACCAGGTCCAGATGGGACACATCCTAAGGTGATGAAGGAACTAGCCAAGACTATTGCCGAACCACTGACGTTAATCTACAATAAATCTATGCAGGAAAGTAAACTCCCACTGGACTGGAAAAGAGGCACTGTAGTACCTCTTCACAACAAAGGTAGCAGGACACAAGCTTCCAACTACAGACCTATAAGCCTCACCTCTGTCGCAGGAAAGCTGATGGAGAAAGTTATTCGAGATGCTATAATTACACACTTACTAAGTAACCGTCTACTCTCACAAAATCAACATGGATTTACCCCAGGAAGGACATGTGCAACTCAATTACTTTGCGTACTAGAGGAATGGTCGCGAAGGCTCGATGAAGGGAAGGCGATTGATGTTTTATATCTCGACTTCAAAAAAGCTTTTGACAGTGTTCCCCATGAAAGACTCCTACTCAAACTAGAGGCACATGGACTTGAGGGTAAACTCCTAAACTGGATTAGAGCATTTCTGACAGGGAGAGTACAGAGAGTCTTCGTTAACGGAGAATCTTCCAACTGGTCTCCAGTAACAAGCGGGATACCGCAAGGCAGCGTCCTTGGACCGGTCCTCTTCCTGGTCTACATAAATGACCTTCCACTTGACGTGAAAAAGAGCGAAGTAGCCTTATTTGCTGATGACACAAAGCTGTATAATACAGTGAGCACACCAGCACAGATTAATGACCTCCAAGATGACCTAAACAACCTGCACAGATGGTCTGAGAGATGGCAGTTGCCTTTTAATGAGGACAAATGCAAAGTACTCCACATAGGCAAGAGAAATCCTGAAGGGAACTACCACATGCAGGGGAAACTTCTGCAATCAGTGAAAGCTGAAAAGGACCTTGGAGTGACAATTGACTACCAGCTGAAATTCCATCAACATGTATCATTAGCGGTCAGTAAGGGATACCAACTACTGGGAATAATGAAAAGAACTTTCTCCAAACTGGATACGACAACACTACCGATTCTATTCAAGACCCTAATTAGACCACACCTAGAATATGGGAGTGTTCTTTGGCATAGCAGATTTAAAGAAGATGCAAAGAAAATCGAAAGAGTGCAAAGAAGAGCTACCAAATTGGTTCGAGAAATCAAGGACCTCCCATATCAAGAAAGACTTAAATACATGAACATGTACTCTCTGTTCTACAGAAGAAGAAGAGGAGACATGATCGCAGTCCACCAGATCATGCACGGACTAGTCGACATCCCACAAGATCATTTCTTCTCCCAACCTGCAAGTAGAAGTAGATCCACGAGAGGGCACTGTCTCAAGATCCAGAAAGAACACTGCAGACTGGATGTTAGAAGTAAGTCTTTCAGCAGACGAATAATACAAGACTGGAACAGTTTGCCAGAAAATATTGTGGTCTTGGCAACAACGGACAAATTCAAAAGACACATAGATAAGCATTGGTGGGAGTATCGCTTCGATCTCCCATGACTCTCTCTCCTGTGCATGCGCATACACTCAGTAATAAATCCAACAGGCTAAACCTACTATAGAAGCAGTGACCGGGAATTACAGGCCAACGCCTTCTACCCGTACTTGATGATGATGATGATGATGAAGTAGGCCTTCTACTTCTAGATCCAAAGATCGGAGACCCCATCGGAGCTGAGCTGAGCATGCATGTCTAAACTCATGCACTCGCGGAGAGCAATGATTTATTCCGGGGAACCGCGGGAGTCCAGCCCTCTGCCCCTGGCACCTTTTTTCACCAAAGTCCGTTCAAATTCACGTGCGACAATGTTACTTGCAATTGCCCTTCCTCTTGATTCTAATAAACCTCATTCTCTATAGTATGTGATATTATATTTCTTTTATTAATTTATTAGATGTATCTTGCTATGTATACTGTACAGAAAGTCCCTAAAAATCGTAGACGATTGATGAATTTTTCCCTGTCAAAATAAAGCCAAAGGAATCTGTTCACGCTTACACGGCTTGCCATATGCCAGCTGTAGATGTATGGAGTGCTGTGTGCCCCAAACAGTAAATATATATTTTATTAATTATCACGTGTATAATTAGGCTAATGAAACAACGAAACTCGATTACAAACGGATATTGTAAACAAGCTGAAAGTTGTATAAATACGATTCCTTGCTTTTCATGAATTTGAAGTAAAATACTTTCAAATGATACATTCTTGACATTGATCCATGCGCTTTACTGATTTACATTGATTACTAAAAAGTGCATGTCAAAATCCTTTTGTGCCAGATTTTGGTGACTAATAATAGTAAGGTTGAAAATGTTAGCATCACACGCGAACATAACCAAACATGAAGGAAACAAAACTTTAAAAGCGAATAAAAAAAAAATTGTTTTGTTCAGCTTCTTTTAACAATGAGGGTAAAATTATTGTCACCATGATAGAATAAAGAATAATGGAGAGAAAAAAATCAGAATGGAGATATTGTCGATTTTGAGGGTATATAAGGGCATATTTTGTATGTTTAAGTGTGTCTTAAATGTTGTTATCAATTGTTATCAAAGGGCATTTCTCATAGCGGCAAGTTTTTGAAATAACAAAGCAGACAGTTTAGTGATGTTTCTACAAGAATCAAAGTTAATTAGGCGCACCATCATATTTTGATAGCGGAAAAAAAGTTACGGTCCGGCACATAAGGCAGAAAATAAACCATCATGCAGAACTAATATATAATAATTCTCTCAGGATAGGCACCAATTTCACTTAAGAAAAAGGGCGCTTTATTATTGATTGTAGAAAAGCTGAGCCTGATGTTCTAGGCTACGCCCGTCATCCAGGAAATGGATATCATGTTGCCCCGCTTTTAGTATCTGCTTATTTAAATGCTCAACTTAACACAATGGGAATTTTGCATAAGTATCTTGTAAAGTCACATTTCCCATTTTCGCATGTGATACTTATTGTTTTCACTAGCTGTGTCACCAAAAGTCTGACACAAATGGATTTTGACATGCTATTTTTTAAACAATGTTGCTAGATCGGTTAAGCATGTACATATTAATAAATGCAATCATGGTCACTAATAGTATTATTTGAATTGCATATTACTTCTGTTTTATGAAAAATAAGAGTTTACTATTTTCAAACAGCTACCTCATAGTTTTCGCACAATTACCGTTTGTTTTCTGGTTTCATTTTCTTTCTGGGACGCATTCTGTATAGCCTACCACCTCTCTCCCTTCACTGAGTATCAACAATATAATTGTTTACACAAATTGTTGGCAATTTTTCAAAGGGAAAGCCCAAGAAGAGGAACGACCCCTTTGAATATTTACAGGTGCCCCTTGAAGCGCGCCGTCTCTGGAAAAAATGAAGGCCCCATCAGGCTACTATAGTGCCACTCTACATAGCTAGCTCTTGGAAGCACATAATGCGTTCCCTGCCCTGTAACTCATATGGTTTACAAATTGTATGCAATGTCCTCGGGGGCGAAGGAGCGTCTTCCAAAGTGGGAAGGGGGCACGAACAAAAAAAAGGGCTCTTTCTGGGGAAAAAGGGGCACCTACAAAGGGAAACCTCAAAGTGAACAATACACCATTTTTAGACATTCGTATATACCCCATACATCGTCACGATTGTGATTACATTACCAGGGATGGCATCAATATATTTGTTTCTCTCCTTATACGTGGTACAAGATACTGTTTAAGCAACATACCTTGCAGTTGGGTGTGATTATGGTCTTAAAACTAATTTTCGAGCGAGCGAGCAAAAATTTCAAGATTTGTGAGGTCGCTGAGTGCGGAAAGTTACATAAAGAGGCCAACAAACATACCCTGAAAGTGGCGGATCTACGGTGGGGGTGGGGGGGGGGGGGGTAAACCCCCTTGGGCTGCCAAGTGAAAATGTGATGTGCATAGAAAAACGCCACTCTGGATATAAATGTATATTAAATTGTTGCTTGATTTAAAAAGACGTTATCATGCACTGCTTATTATGGTCTCCATTGTGTTAGTAGATGCCAGGAAAGCATCACTTACGGGGTTCAAAATAGCACCAAAAATATGCTACATGCTGCTGGCAAAAATGGCGGCCATTTTTCAATCTGGCAGCAATGTATAACTACTGT